GTCTTAATTTGGTGTCTGATGACTCTCGCCGGGCTCGTAATTGTCCATTTAATTTCACAGTGACATTTCACAAAATATTTACGGTCATATTTGCAGGTGCAGGTCATTGGTATGAAATTATTTTATTTTTTTCTGAGCTGGTCGGGCAGACCTGTTCTCTGTCACTGCCAGCACTGAACTCTGAAGTTGAGAGTAATTGGGGACCTTTCAAACATGAGGTCATTAGCAGTGGAGATATACCACACCTAGAATCAAAATGAAAACATTTCTGTTGATATTCGTGCTGGAAGTTTATAATTAAAGCTCGGAAGGCTAATTAGTTGGATTATTAAGGCATGTTGAAGGAATGTGCCTCTAATGGAAAATAGAAACATGTGAACCACTCTGTTTTCTCACTCTTTCATGCAGTTATTTTCTGATCATGTCTCTGCTAATATAACCCTCAGTGTTTATTTCCCCTCATGCGCTCATTAGCAATGAAAACATTGTGCACGCTTTTGCTCGCAGGTCTTGGACAGAAGAACATTGTATGTGTTTGTAAGTTCTATCAGAAAGAGGCAGAGTTTGAGATCAGCAAGTCGCATATTATCCTTAGAGATGGTCACTATTTGCCAGGATGTCGAACGCAGGGCCACAGTTTCAAAGCATGCTGGGAGTTGCATGCATTCCACTGTATCCACATCATTTTGGGGGTTGTGGGAAAGATGGGTTCACTTTCTGAGCATGACTCATTGGTTAACAAATCATCTAATTCACTTTCAGTTTTTTAGCTCTTCACCATGACTGCTCAAACTTTAAATTGTGGTAGCCCGCTAATTTGTATATACTGTGAGGACACGCACATTCTGACTTCAGTCACCAGAGAATAAGTTAGTAGTCAGACACAAACTCTATTGGCAGCCAAAGATGTGGTTTTGTTCAGTTCACCAGACTAACATAGTTGAATGCATTCATATTCTAGCAGTCATTAAAATGGCAGTATACAGATGTTGGTTATGTCAGATAATTTCTTCTCCACCTACACAAACATACTAATGCTTTATGAAGACATCATTCTCTAGTATATAACCTTTCTGCTACCTTTCCAGAGACATACCAATTGCCAGTGTAATTCCAGTGTCTGAGGGTTTCTTCCAGCCGCAGATGACCAGTCAGGATCCAGTCTGGCAAGAAGGAATGATTTGGAGTGCTGCTGAGCCATGGAGGTATGGTACTAATTCACCTGATTATACAGTACATTATTGACTACTCATTGAGTCACAGTCTGACTCTAAACCAAGAAAATTTCTTGCTGAAAAGACCACATTGGCTCCACACTGCGACTAAAATGGTCACAAAAGTGACAAAAAAAATTAACAGTTGTGACTAGATTTAACATCTAGACTTGTACAATATTTGTGTGTGCATATGTGGTTTTGTCAGATATCATGTTAGAGTGCACACCAGTGTTTCATGCATGTTGCAGTGAACACAGCACAAGCTGTGATGTCCGATTGGCAAACAAATGACTTGCTCAGTAAGTATACAATCAGTCAAAAGTTTGGAATGATTAGGAATTTTTAAATGTTTTTGAAAGATGTATCTTATGCTCACTAACGCTGCATTTATTTGATCAAAAGACAGTAAAAACAGCAATTAAAATAGAAAACAGTTATTTAAAATTGTAATAATATTTCACAATATTGCTGTCTTTTTTGTATTTTTGATCAAATAAATGCAGTCTTGGCGAGCATAAGAGATGACTTTCAAAAACATAAACAAAAAAATAATTATTCCAAACTTTTCACCTGTAATTTGAATATTAATGTAGTGGTACATTTTAAAAAACATTCACTGTTTTTACATTTTGGTTTCAGAGTGAATCCAGTAATAAAGTTGAAACAGCTGTAATGTAATCTTTGTTTAGGAATAAGACTGTAAAGTGATTGTCATGTTGGAACCATATTCTGAACAACCGGCTTGAGAATGTAAATTTGGCAATTGGCTTGTAAATGTTTTACTTTAGAAGCCAATGGCTCCCTTGTCTTTTTTTTTATTTTTTATTTTTTTTGGTCTGGAGCTCTGCTGCATCTTTAAGGTACATGTCAAGCTCTTTATTCATTTAGCACTAAGCTTGCCTTGTGATACTTTAATGGAAAGTCCATGTGTGAGAGAGAGAGAGAGAGAGAGGTTCTTTAGGTCCAGCCGACACATGCTGAGTTAATGGAAGTAATCCTACACCCTAATGAAATAACAATGGTGCTGGACAGGACACACACACGCACACAGACACAATTCCTCTCTGTCGCTCTCCTTCCCCTATGTCTCTCTCTCTCTGTCTAGCTGTTCAGATGTGATGTGCCCTCTAAACTCAGATTATGTGCAACTTTAGATCATGCATCGCAGCTGTGACCTCCAGACAGCGCATAGTCACATATAAAATTAGTTTAATTGCCGGCACAGACTTTATTTCCACATTTCTGTTAGTTTAGGGAGGATGGTGAAAGTCTTTAAATGATTTGACCTTTGCCCTTTTAGTCGATGATACCAAGTTTGATAAAAAGATTGTTTGTCTGTGTTATTTGTTTGCTGCTGCCTTAATGAAGGATGAAGTGCTTCAGTGGGATTTAAAGCATGGCAAATGAAACTCTGCTCTGTTAGTTCCAAATATTTATGATTAGACCCAGAGTATCCAGTCTCTGCAAAAAACAGAAGTCAGAGAGTACACAAACACATAAATACACACTCTCCCTCATGTACATAGACATGTCGGCTTATTTTCAAACTTACACTTACAATAAATGAGTCAAACGGAAACATCTGCATTGTACTGTATGAGGAAATGTCGTGAACAATTTCCAGAGGAAACTTCACTCTCTCTCTTACATTCAAAGACACATGGAACCTGATACCAAGACGTCTACATCAGCGACAATTCTAAAATAACAAACATGTCAGAAGTATTTCTGTCACGCTCTCTCTGCCTCTGTTGATTGTTTACGACTCGCTGAATTCACTCTGTAAGTGCTTCGGATCGTGAGCATATTTTCTGGGCTCCTTTCTTCAGGTATTAGCAGAATTTATGAGGTGTTAAATATTTCCTTTGTTCCCCGAGCAGGCAGCTGCTGGAACCATCAGAGCCCACACGGCCAGGCCGAGTTCATTAGCCTGCTTAAGGAGCCTGTCTCTGGGGCTCAGTGACCACAGTCCTCCCCTGCCGCCCTTCTCTACACTTATCAAGAGTACGGTTACAGCACTTCAAATACTAATGAAATCTATTAAATAATGTCTTTTCATTACAGTCCGCCATTGATGCATGAACCACTGTTGAAAATGCAGAGGAGAACTACTGCACTGTCAAGCCACAGTACATCAATTACACTCGAATAACAGACACTGGCGCTTTACAAATGAGACTCGGACAGCATGTTTGCAGAGCACCAACAAGCCTTTAGAGATGATAAACAGTCATATTTAATTATACAAAGTTAATCACTGTCACCACAGAGACTTCAATAAATGTCAACCTGCTGCTCTCTGTGCTACAACTTGGTTTCAAGTAAAAAGTAAAAAGTTCATTAACTATTTAACCATTAACATTAGAAAAACGAAAATCCGGTCATCATTTACTCATCCTCATATCATTCCAAACATGAATGCTTGCTTTTTTCTGTGGAACATTGTTTTCAACATTGTTGAAATTTATTTTGCTCACCATTGTTCTGATTCTGAATGCTTCTATCATTCATCAGCTAAAAAAAAAGCTATTGTTCAGAAAAGTGTTCTTTATTGTTATCAACCTTGATATGAACGGGCTTTTAGACTTTGGGTATACCAGTTGAGCAGTATGGATCAATTTTCTTTGAAGAACAGCTGAAACATTGTTCAAAACACATATTCTTGTGGTCCACAAACGACAAAGCCATAAGAGTTTGCACGACATGTGGGTGAGTAAATAATAACAGAATTTTTTCGGGTTTTTTTTTTTGTGTACACTACAGATGAAGATTTCATGCTGCACTTGTTGTTTTTCATGCACTTATTGCGCAATATCTGGGCAACATGGGCCTATGTGCGCTGTGGGGGAGGGGGGGCATAAACTGTGCATCTTCACGCCACCCCATTTAGCGCCCCTCTTGGTGTATTTTTATTCTTTGTTTGACAGGCATCTTCTGGTTCTACCGCGTCAGCACAGTGCAGTGTGCAGCCAAAAGTTTTGCACAGGTCTATAAATAAGACCCCGCTGAGCACACGCCCCAAAAAGTACGGCCTGCCTGCACTTGCTCTTAAAGACCTTTTTACTCATTTAATTTTGTTCTTTTAATTAGTAGCTTTCAATCATCCAGTTCCTTTGAACGGACTTTTGATTCCACTAAACTGCGCTTGAATACAAAGCACTTTTAAAATGACATGAGCAGAGGTGTGTGCTTGTCTCCCTTGTGTTTTGAGTGAATGGGGAAATGTTGTTTCTTTGCCGATGTTTATGGAGCCAAATTCTCATGCAGCATGTGGAGTTAAGCCTGCAGATCAACAGCAGCCCCCTGCTAGTTACAGTCCACTCAACAGCATGAAATTCTTGTTTTCTTTCTGTAACAGTGTGTCAGTCAAACGTGGCCCTCAGGAGCATCATTTTTCAGTGCTTGAGGAGGAGTCTGGCTAATATAGCAGTAATCGCTGAGCACATTCAAGCAGCGATTTACTTCATAGTGGAGCTTTATTGCTTTCTGTTGCACTCTTTTAGTCTTTCTTCTTTGCTCATTGCTCAAACTACAGATTTTAGAGGTCAGATGTAAAAAAAATAAAAAAAATCTGTTACTTGCCCACAGTCTGTTCGCTCTCTGATGTGTATTGCTCTTAAACCAATACTTAGACTCTCTAAATATTTTTTGCTATTTTTTTCTGCACAACATTCACAGAGACTACCTGGCCGTTATGTAAATATTTTTTTCCAGGCCAATTTGTGGCTAAGGGTGGTCATTTGCTGTGTATGTTTTCCTGTTTCTTTCTCACGCTGAATTTTAGCGTGACTTTTTCCACCCTCATGTTAGGAAGTTTTAAATATTTGACTGAATAAACCTGAGCTATTTTAGTGGTTTGGCTGCTCTAAGTGTTGATAAATGTTCATTAGAGGAGCTCTCTTTTATCGCGGAAGTGGAAGTCCAATACTAGAGTGAATCTGATCCCAAGACAAGGGTTTTACTTGGTTGTTGTTGTGTGGTGGTGGTAAATAAAACTGTGCTGATCACTCGGACGAAACTATTAATAAGAGCCTCATCCTGGCCCTTGTGCTGTGCCCCATTACTGGCTTGGGTGCGAGCCAACAGCAGCACCACGCGTGGCAGCTGCGCGCATGCGCATCAATGAGCGCTATCGCTCCGCCGCTGCAAGAGAACTTTAATAATGAAGTAGACCACGGAGTGCGCGTGTGCTCAAGTTAACTTCAGGAGCGTAAATTAAAGGGGAAAACACGGCTAGTGCAAGTCAGCGTTCCTCGGAGTTTGGGTTATAGTGGTGATCTGTCGGTTGGAGCGTTCCGCTCCGGTGCGGCCGGTGCAGCTCTCATGAACTTAGGGAGGACTTCCCCGCGAGCTTCACTGACAGCGCGTGCACTGACTGGCGCGAGCTGTTTCTCGCGCTTCACGCAGCCCGACCACTTGAATATTTTTGGATGAGCATGTCAACAGAGTGAATGCGACCGGACCTTCTGGAGAGTTTGGAAATCGTAGCAACGCACAACTCATAAGAGTAAGTTCCCATTTAGAATAGCGTTTTGTTTGTATGTTTTTTTTGGAAAAGTTGAATAGTTTCGCTGAATATTTTATGTAGCAGTTTACAAGCGTAAGAGCAGTTTGTTGAAGCACCTGCTCAAGCCTGATACTTTCACGTGATTTAAACGTCTGAGAAAATTGGTGCTCATAAAAGGTGAACTAAATTTGAAGTTATAGTTCAGAGTAGGCTAATTTCTGCATTCCGCATTAGACCACCTATAAAACCTATGGGCACTATTTTTTTTATTTTATTTTTTACCAATTATCACTTTAAAATGTCAACATTCGAAATGAAAACTGCTGCCTGAACATGATTAAATAGTCAAAGTGGTTCCATAGTGACACTTTGTTATTGGACTTTTTGTACTTTTTGTTTTTTTGATTAAGATGATCAAGAAAATAGATTTGAAACGTTGAAAACTCGAGAAATGACAAAGCTAAATGGATGGGGGAAATGTTTGGACAGTGATGCCTTTTACAGTGTTAGCACATTATAACATGTTCATTATTCTCGATTACAGGGATTTACATTAATCCGTTTCAAACTGAGTTCCAGAAAGCGCACCATTTTTGGCTTCTTATTTTTATTATTTGATTTTATTGTACTTTATGGACGAAGTGCAGTGATTATATTCACATATATTCAAGAGGTCTTTTGAACAGTAGACTAATTTATTTGTTTATTGTAACTTTTTTTTTTTTATTGAAAGCCTACTAAGTGGTTCTGAGTTTGTTGGGTGATTCCCGTATCCGTTTGAATCGCGCGTCCATGTCCGTTTTCCCATGCACGTGGAGTTTGTGTTTGTATCTGATACGGAGGAAACGGGAATATCATCCCGACACTGAAGCCGCTTCACTGCGCGTTGGCCATTGGTCGCTTTCTCGCGCTGTCGATAGCTGCTCGAGCCGATACCGGAGAAGGAGACCGGATTAGATTCCACACTTAACACGAAATAATTCACAACACACAGGTCGCTCTGGTGGCTGGTAATATGATGGAGTGTACTAGCCAACAATTACATAAGAGAACATCAGTGACCTCCTCTTTGGCCAACCCCAGGCCTCAAATTTTGGGGAAAAACTCGAGACTGTTTTACATGTATTTTTAAAGTTTGTAGGACACTTTGGTTGACGGATTTACGAGGCACAGTTTTGGTGGGACATCATTTTAAACGCATTTTTTCCTAAGTAGATTGTAGAGTCTAGCCTTTGTTTTGATCTCATACAGTTCTCTTTAGTGGATGAATGATTCAATTGCAAAAAAAAAGTCAGTGTTTCTTCTTGCTGTCCTGACAAAAAAATCTGTCCTGAATGTTATTTTGAGAGTTACACATCTGTAAATGGGCATCATTACTGCTTTCGTCAGCCATATTGAACGTTTGTTGTCATTAGCCTAATTTAAAAAAAAAACATAATGACATATATTAGAGGGTAGTCATGTAGAATTATGGGTGAGGGTCAACCACCCATGGTGGTTTGGATGTAACATCACACCCTGAATTGTTAAAAATGTCTTTTCAAGATCTGCACTTGGATGCCATTTTAAATTTCACAACAGTTAACGACTACAACTAGCCTACTATGTAGTAAATCCAGTAAACAGTCAAATAAATAAATAAAATAATGCATACATTTTGTCAGGAAAGTACACTCTTGAAAATTAAGGTTCATAAATGGTTATTTGTGGCATCTAAAGTATCAAAAACATTTTTCACTACGTACAGTTCCTAAGTTGAGCTGTGGTTCTTTGGAAACGAAAACCTATCTTGCAGAGACTGGATGGTTTTCTGAAGAATTAAAGAAATGAATCTAGCTGGAACCTTTTGGAAGTTAGAAGTTTCTCACGTGGTGGAGGAGAAGACATTTAGGCAATGACATTAAACCTGAGGCCTGTCTATATAAATAAAATAGTGAAATCCGTTCTAATAACAATGAATAATGAATCTATGCGTTCATTAAAAAAATCCCTTTAGACAAACTCTTTTGCTCAATTGAAAACCATTTGTTCCCGGTCCAGCTTGTTTAGTAATAGGCGGTGTGTTTTGACAATGGAGTGAGCGCTGATGATTTAAAGGGAGGAAAACGAAAGCTTTGGCGTATTTGGCTTTCCTGTGCGCTGCTCTCGTGCCGCGGCTCTGTCGAATCGCGCGCAGAATGCCGCGCCACTAAACGCTCCGCGTGCTTTCTTGACAATAGCAGTAAAGCGCGTTGGCGTTGTTATTTTGAGACGGAATGATCTTCTCTAATTGGACCGTTTACAATCCCCAGAATGTTTCCTTAAATGTTGTTTTCCTTGTTTGACTTAATCAAATGCTTTGGTCTGGGACCGTTGTTGCATATCAGTGTTTTTTTTATTTGAAACTGTGTGTGTTGACAGAAGGGGCATACATTTCAGCTCAATGGTTCAGTTACATAGTGTAATGTGTCCTCTGCTGGCTGTCCGTCTGTTCATTGTGTGTGTGGCTGCGTGTGCGCGCACCAGGCTATAGAACAGTTTGTGTGTGTGTGTGTGTGTGTGTGTGTGTGTGTGTGTGTGTGTGTGAGGACAGTGGGCTCAGAGGGCACAGAGTGATAACAGTAAAAATCAATGCTGCTCAGCTCATTCCCCTGCCTGAGCATTAAAGGCTAGAATTTCAGAACACAGCTTCACCAAGCAAATGAAAAATTCAAATGATCTGTTCTTCAAACTGTGCCCTTCAACTCTTTCTCTCCCTTCCACTTACACACACACACACACACACACACACACACACACACACACAAACAAGCTTGTATACAGTACATATGCTTGTGGGGACTTCCCATTTTCATCCATTGTTCTTAGGTCATTGTAATGGATAATAGGCTACCATAAACTAAAGCATATTCCCAAACAGACGCATCATGACTATTCAAAAAGACCCTTCGGGTTTTTGAGCAAAGTCAAAAATTGTTTCAATGAAGATGGTTTTTTTGTGTTTAGAGGTGTTTGTATAAAATGATTTGGCAGAAGTCTTCAATTCACATAAATTTGGGCAGTTCAGCCGAGTTGCATACAAGAAGAATGCATGCTGGCTGTCAAGTTAAAAAGCAGTTTTGCTTGGTTTATAAAAAAAACGGGATATACTTTCAGCATTAGAACACTGGTGTCTTTTCATGCTAAACAAAAATAGCATTTCTAGACTTTAATTCAAGATTTTATTTGGTCAATTTATGAATCTTTTCTTTGTGCATTTCATTTATTTATTTATTTTCTTTATTTTCTTTACAGTTTGTTGTTCTTGAGATATGTAAACAAATGTAATGTTAAAAATACAGCAAATCGTAGACAGGTTTGTAAATCACAGGTCTGGAACCTGCAGCAGGACAGAAAATAAACCCATTCTCCGCATCCTGAGGCTTTCAAGGTCTTACAAAGAGTTTTTGAATAAAAGTGCTTTTCATTACTGAGGCCTCAGGAGGTTTCAAAGCAATTTACAGAAGTTTCAAGCTTTTAAATGGCAGGGGAAGGATGGGAAGAGAAGAGAGAAAGATAAAGATGGAGGCTGGGATGGGGGTGGAAGGGGCTTCAACGGGGGACTCAAAATCATCAATGTTTTTAGTGACTACTGCCATGCTAGCATCGCCGTAACCTGGACAGCTTGGCTTTTTGTGTGTACTGTATGAGTGCATTGTGTGTGTGTGTTACATTGATTACATTTCTCTCAACCCATTGTTTAATGTTTACTTCTGTAAATGATATTTACTTCAGCCTAGCTGGCTATGATACAGTGAAGTTACCAGACTTCTTCCTTCCCCTCCTACACGCATATACCCACAGACACAAAGGGAGAGAGAGAGACAGAAACGAGAGAGGGATGCCTATGAATTCTATTGTGTTTATGGCGATTTTAAAGCATCCTTCATTTGCAGGTGTCTGGACTGTAGTCGAGGGGAGTGGAAGTACAACTGATGGAGAATACACAGGAGCTGAATGAACAGAGCGTAAGTGAACTACAACACACTATTCAGATGTGTTTTACAACATTATGGCTTTAAGATGATATTCTTCTCTTTCATTGTCTGTGTACTGAATTCATCACTCCGCTAATTCAGAAAATTCAGAATTGGCCAGTGTATTGTGCAGTATCATTTGAAGAGTGTGTATGTGTTGTATATTTGGATATGTGTGGGTAAAATCCCATCCAGCTGACTCTCTGTACCAGTGATTCTCAATCAAGGGTGTGCAGATCCCTGGAGGCACTTGGGAAGATATTGATTTTGCTTTGTTAAACCTATCCACTTTATTTTTAATGAAAGTGCAGGTGTGATGATTTGTAACTTGAATGTGCAAGGCTTCTGTAATGATAAACACACAGGTTTGTAGTGCAAATAGTTTTACCATCTACTGCACTATTATTCTTTGTTATTTACATATAGTGGCTAATGAATCAAAGTCTTTCTCATTCGCAGGAAATAGCTTACATTCACGTCAAAAAATAAGGAATTATTCTAAATATTTACTGTATATCAGCACTCTTGGAATGTTGTTTGGCCAATCAAATTGAAGGACCAGAACTAACTGTAGCATCAATTATATTATAATTTTTTTTATTATGCATTACTTGATTGGATAACATTTCTTAAAGCATTTATTGTTAAGTGTTTCTCAAGAAGGTGTCTCCAAAAGTGAACTTTCTGCTTATCAAAGAATCATGAAAAAATGTATCAGGTTTCAACAAAAACTGTTTTCAACATTGCTAATGACAAGAGAAGTTTTCTGAGCATCAAATCAGATGATTTCTGAAGGATCATGTGACACTGAAGACTGATAGCTGCTGAAAATTCTGCTTTGCCATCACAGGAATAAAGTAATTTTTTTTTTTTTAAGTAATAAATTGTAATAATATTTCACAATATTGCTGTTTTTTGTGTGTTTTTGATCAAATAAATGCAGCCTTGGTGAGCATAAGAGACTTCTTAAAAAAAAATCTTACATTTTATCTATTTATTTATCACAGAAATAAATTACATTTTAAAATATATTTACATAGAAATTTTTTTTTGACTGTTTTTACTGTACTTTACTTTTGATCAGATAAATGCAGCCTTGTTGAGCATAAGAGACTTTAAAACCTTAAACTTTTGAATAATTCTAAAATAATTGTGGCTTGCCCCTTAGTTTGAGAAAGAAACAAAAAAAAAAGCATTGACAGCATACAGTGCAAGTCTATAAGACAGTCGTTGTAAGTTGTCCCGTCGACTTCCACTGTAAGGGCATAGCTGTTAAGTTTTCTTCAAGATCCTTCCAGATCTTAAGTTTTAATACAAATGTTAGGTATTCCAGTACTGACGTTGAGTTTGATGATACTAAATTGTTTCCAATCACGTTTGAATCAGTACAAGCTGTCAAAACAAAGCTGCAGGTGTGAGCAGACTATATTCGTTCCTGAAGCTGGATGTAGATGATGTTTTTACAGTCATGCAGAGTCATTGATTAATAAACACAGAGATTATTTGACGGTTCTCCTGGCGATCTTAAAAACTGCATTAAGTTGTGGAGTACAATTTCACTAATGTGCGCAATGGTGGTCCTTGTGTGCAGTTTGGGTGAGTTTTTCTGACAGCTTTGGGTCCAGCCTGAGCACATTATTTAACAAGCACGTCGACATCTGGGAAGCAATTCATCATTTAATTAAATGCTCCTGAAACCTGGCCTTTCGCTAATGAGATTAATTTAAATAATTAACGAAAAGCTGACACAAGCACAAGAACTCATGAATAATTAAGCAGCATTTCTTCTGCTGCAATCAGAGGGGAAGGGAGCACTTTAATGCTAGAGTGCTTTTTTATATAAAGTTTCAGCTCATTTCTTAAGATGATACAGACACACTCCAATGCACACGTTACATAAATGATATAAAACCCAGTATTCACATAAATGATATAAAACCAATCTTGTTGGGATGAATTTATTAGTTTTTAATTGAGAACACGGATGTTGAATAGACTGGTCCAGAGGAACAGGTTTCGTGTGTGTGCTTGTTCTAATTTTAGTTTCTATTTCTTATTTTCATTGTCCGCAGGGAGTTTGAATGTTCTCCGAAAATATAACCGCATAAACTACTGTCACCTGATCGGAATACCCTGAAAAACATACATGTTGTGTGTCTACGCATTACATACAGCCCTTAGCCCTGTCACACACTCTCTGTTCTTTTCTATTTCCTTTTTCTTCTTCTCTCTTCCTCTCTCTATTGCCTTCCCCTACCTTTAGAGAAGAGCGTTTCAGGGAGGGGACACATCAGATAATCTTACACCTCCCAGGGGCATATGCTGAAATGTGTGTGTGTTGGGGGACGTAGGGGTGGGGGCACAGGTAACAATGTATTTTACATGAAAGGAAGAGTATAAAGTTACAGCGCTGATAACCATAATACTGAAAGCACAAAAAAAGAACAAGAAAAGGGGGACTGTTTTCTGTGTGTGTGTGTGTGTGTGAAGCATCTGTACCCATAAGCAGGCCTGGAATCTGCATATAGAAGTAAGCAGAAATGCCCTTGCATGCTTGTTTGTTAAATGTTTTGGCTACATTTAAAATGTGGTGTGGAAACAAATTTCGCTCAAAAATTGCTAGTCAATTTCACAACTAATTACAAACACTTCACATATAAGTACCTTAAACCAGCCTAAACTGGTTTTCTTGTCTTAGCTGGTCTCTCAACATGGTCATGGTGGTCTGTTGACTGTTTTAGAGGTATCTTGGCCACATTTCACCTGGTTAGGCCTGCAGACCATCTTCAACAAGCTCAACACAGTAATGTTTTGCACCATATACTATAATTTTTGGCAAAAATATTTGTTCATGAATGTATGAATAAATATTCTATCTGTATAATTTCCAATTGCAGTTTTTTATAAATAAAAACTGAACAAAACAAATTTTATATATACAGTGCTGGGTAGTAATTTATTACATGTAATCTGAATTACGTAATCAGAGGACCGAACTTGCCTACCCCTGGTGTAGGGGGAAGAGACAGAAAGATTTATGCTATGTATATTACTGACGAGTTAGAGGATGTTGTAAACTCGTAATATTGAATGTGCCGAATATGGCACACTCTCAAAACAATGCATATTAGTAGGTGTGACTTTCACCATCCTTTCAGATTTTAAAATGTATTTTGTAAATGTATTTTAAATTGTAATTTATTCCTTTAATAGTAACGCTTTTTAGCAGCCATTACTCCATTCTTTAGTTTGACCGCGATTCTTCAGAAATCATATGCTGATTTAGCGCTCAAAAAACATTTCTTATTATCAGTGTTGAGAACAGTCATGCTGCTTGATATTTTTTTGGAAACGGTAGTGTACATTGTGATTTTTCCATTCTACAACTTGTTTTTGTTATTCATATTCTCCTCATTCAGTGGACAGCATCTGCAATGGAGCAAATAATCATGCTGAAATGGCAACAGTAGCTTCAAAAATCATGGGCAGTGAGGTCATCACATTGAGTCAAATACCTGAAAAATCACTCTCAGACTGAGACTGCAATGTTTTCTTCATACACTGAATGAGAAGCTAATACATCAACTGTCTCCTCTGGTCTTTGCACAGGTGAAGAAATCTACCACTGATTCTCATGCTCCAGACCCAGTAGGCAACAGGTAAAGTGAACACACATATTCTCCCCTGGAATCCATTTAGGGTATTATTTATGAGAAAGTGGACTGTGGGAGTGAGTGATTTTGTACACATAAAGACAGAGGGAGAGATAAATAAAGAGGGATGGTAAAGTCATTGCGTGTGAGTGGGTGTAAAGCAGATGGCTTCACCTGGATAAAACGTGTGTTAGAGCTCTGTGTACTTTGGGATGCGTTCAGAAATTTCATGCAGATGTTTATGCTATAAACAGAGAAAAATGAGTAGCTCTGTTACTGTTTGACATTACATTATGAAGTGTCTGCTAAATGCTTCAATGCAAAACTATCTAACCTTATTTAAAAAAAAAAATTTTTTTTTGCATTTTTGTAGTTCAGGGATGGATGGATGCATGGAATACTAAATATTACTTTTGTACTTAAAAATAATAATTTGACACTGAATTTCTTATTATATATATATATATATATATATATATATAATATGGTCAAAAGAAAACATATATACATTTTTTGCATTTTTATATATATATATAATATGGTCAAAAGAAAACATATTTGCATTTAAACATTTGTTGGTTATGATATGTATATCTGTATTCAATATTTGCCATAATATTGAAATAAAATATATTTACTTCATATAACAATATTTCATTAGCCAAAATGCAAAAAAATGAAAATCTTACTGCATGCAATAGTATTTTGTGTAGTTTTATAAATTAAAATGTAAAAATATATATATATTCATGATAGTGAGAACATTAGGCAGTTTTTGATTCACATTGCAGGTTGTTTAACATAGAAACATGAAGATATATTGTGGTTCCTCATTTTCATATGGGTGAGTTAATGTGAAGAATATTCCATATATGTGTCGCTACATGAAATTCTGGAGGAAAAGACAACTAGATCCTAGATAAACATGACCTAGATAAACATGACCTAGATAAACATGACCTAGATAAACATGACCTAGATAAACATGACCTAGATAAACATGACCTAGATAAACATGACCTAGATAAACATGACCTAGATAAACTGCTTTCCAGCTTTTTGAGGTAAAAACTCTTAGAAGATGCACAAGTTGGGACAGATGTTTTCTTTAGCAGATGGTTTGACACATGAACGAGGGTCATATTATCATACTTACAATGTCAAAGCCAGGTTTTGCTCACATTTTCTGGTTAGTGAGTGTTACGGTCATTTTGGGGTCAGTAAGATTTTTCATTTTTGAAGGAAATTAATACTTTTATTTAGCAAGGATGCATTAAAGATTCAGCTTTGCCATCCCAGAGATAAATGATATTTTAAAATATATTAAAAGAGAAAACGGTTATTTTAAATTGTAATAATATTTCAGAATATTACTGTTTTACCATGTTTCTGATAGATGCAGAATTGCGGAACATTAGAGACTTTTTCAAAAATATGAAGAGTTCTTACCAACCCCTGACTTCTGAATGTTAGTGTAAATGTATTAAACATCTATTTTTGTCTGTCACAGGGCCTTGGAGATGCAGGATCTAACAGACCTGCAGCACTCTGTTAACAGTGGCAGTGACGGCACGTCCAAACTGGACAAAAATATCCTCAGCAACAACATCACGACCAATGGAACTGGAGGTATGAAAGAACGACAAATCAAAGAGCAAGCAAGCAAGAACTTACGAGCGTACATGAGTGAGCGAGTGACATATTAGCTGATAAATAGGGCCTTTCAACCAAAACATTGCTTTGAATACAGGAAATCAGCTTTAGCGCAGTGCACTCCACGTTCATCGCTGTAGAGTTTCTTGCTGTAATTGAAAGCAGGGTTCAGTCGTGGTGTGTGATGCTCAGATTGCAAGGATAAAGTGTTTCTTGTTCTGGTGGTTTTGGTGCCGTCCAGAGTACATCAACTGTCTCCTCTGGTCTTTGCACAGGTGAAGAAATCTACCACTGATTCTCATGCTCCAGACCCAGTAGGCAACAGGTAAAGTGAACACACATATTCTCCCCTGGAATCCATTTAGGGTATTATTTATGAGAAAGTGGACTGTGGGAGTGAGTGATTTTGTACACATAAAGACAGAGGGAGAGATAAATAAAGAGGGATGGTAAAGTCATTGCGTGTGAGTGGGTGTAAAGCAGATGGCTTCACCTGGATAAAACGTGTGTTAGAGCTCTGTGTACTTTGGGATGCGTTCAGAAATTTCATGCAGATGTTTATGCTATAAACAGAGAAAAATGAGCAGCTCTGTTACTGTTTGACATTACATTATGAAGTGTCTGCTAAATGCTTCAATGAAAAAAAAATCTAACCTTATTTTAAAAAAAAATTTTTTTTTTGCATTTTTATATATATATATAATATGGTCAAAAGAAAACATATTTGCATTTAAACATTTGTTGGTTATGATATGTATATCTGTATTCAATATTTGCCATAATATTGAAATAAAATATATTTACTTCATATAACAATATTTCATTAGCCAAAATGCAAAAAAATGAAAATCTTACTGCATGCAATAGTATTTTATGTAGTTTTATAAATTAAAATGTAAAAATATATATATATTCATGATAGTGAGAACATTAGGCAGTTTTTGATTCACATTGCAGGTTGTTTAACATAGAAACATGAAGATATATTGTGGTTCCTCATTTTCATATGGGTGAGTTAATGTGAAGAATATTCCATATATGTGTCGCTACATGAAATTCTGGAGGAAAAGACAACTAGATCCTAGATAAACATGACCTAGATAAACTGCTTTCCAGCTTTTTGAGGTAAAAACTCTTAGAAGATGCACAAGTTGGGACAGATGTTTTCTTTAGCAGATGGTTTGACACATGAACGAGGGTCATATTATCATACTTACAATGTCAAAGCCAGGTTTTGCTCACATTTTCTGGTTAGTGAGTGTTACGGTCATTTTGGGGTCAGTAAGATTTTTCATTTTTGAAGGAAATTAATACTTTTATTTAGCAAGGATGCATTAAAGATTCAGCTTTGCCATCCCAGAGATAAATGATATTTTAAAATATATTAAAAGAGAAAACGGTTATTTTAAATTGTAATAATATTTCAGAATATTACTGTTTTACCATGTTTCTGATAGATGCAGAATTGCGGAACATTAGAGACTTTTTCAAAAATATGAAGAGTTCTTACCAACCCCTGACTTCTGAATGTTAGTGTAAATGTATTAAACATCTATTTTTGTCTGTCACAGGGCCTTGGAGATGCAGGATCTAACAGACCTGCAGCACTCTGTTAACAGTGGCAGTGACGGCACGTCCAAACTGGACAAAAATATCCTCAGCAACAACATCACGACCAATGGAACTGGAGGTATGAAAGAACGACAAATCAAAGAGCAAGCAAGCAAGAACTTACGAGCGTACATGAGTGAGCGAGTGACATATTAGCTGATAAATAGGGCCTTTCAACCAAAACATTGCTTTGAATACAGGAAATCAGCTTTAGCGCAGTGCACTCCACGTTCATCGCTGTAGAGTTTCTTGCTGTAATTGAAAGCAGGGTTCAGTCGTGGTGTGTGATGCTCAGATTGCAAGGATAAAGTGTTTCTTGTTCTGGTGGTTTTGGTGCCGTCCAGAGTGGGTTTGGTGGATTAGTGGTGATGTCGTGTGTCGAGATGCTCTGAGCTCACACTAACCTCAAAGGTCAAACGCTGCATACAGGCCTAATTAAAACAGAAGAAAGCGTGTATGTGTACAAGCGTATTTGTGCTGAAATGTTTTCCAGCACTTCTCCGTGCGTGTTTCAGCAAGAGCCTGGTGCACAGCAAACTATTTCCTGCGTTTAAACTCTCAGTTTCTCTCTGATGTCAACACACGCTCGCTTGCTTTTCTCTCCTTGAGGAAAACGCTGAACAAACGTTTTAAGAGAGAACGTTAAGCAAACATACACATGGCTAAATAGACTCTCAACACCCTAGCAAGCGAGCGTTTGAAGTATGGCTATGACTGTGCAGTACACAAGAGAGGAAGTAAAGTTAAGGGACCCTGTGTGTGTTGTGTGTGTGTGTGTGTGAGCTCATCTGTTTTTAACATGTAGCGGAATAAAACAATAGCAGAAGACTGAGAGAGTAAAAGGAGCAGAACTCAGTAAATCATTTAGATTAGAGCTCAGCTAATGATTTTAACAGCTTGACATACACACACACACACACTGGGATTGTGCTTCTGCCAAAACAACGACATATTCAACATTCTCCTCTGTCTACCTCATCAGCTCACAGCCTAGACTGAATCCCTCCATGCACACACACACACACACACACACACACACAAACCGCCCACACAACCACCCACACACACACACATCCCAACATGACTCCCACTGCCAGTGAAGCCTCATTCATCTTACTTTAGAGGACTTCGCTTTCTCCCTCACTAACACACACGCACACTGATTCCAGGCGTTTTTTCTGCAAATGCGCCTTTGACAGAGCTGTCATAAACTCAGTGTGGCAAAATATGGTTTTGGAAACCTTGCATGATTTATATGAAGTCATTTCTTATTATGGGAACACCAGGAACGATGGCTATACTATTGGTAAATGTTTGTTTTAATGAAAGTGAATTTCATTATAATGGAATTCTGTGGGAATTGATCAACTTTTTACTTTTCAGTAATGGTTGTACTCTTTGCTATTTGTGAAATGTTATCAGTTCTTACAAGAACTTTCCATAGAATCTTACATTTTACAGTGGCCACCAAATGTACTATTTGGACACTTAGGTCAAATTTAAAATTCACAAATTTCATTGTATTAGATAACAAAATATCATCTATCAAAATGAGATTTGTAAAAAAAACTTATGCTGTTTTCTCAGATCTCTTTTCTCAACTATTTCAACTGCAATTACTTTTAACCAACTTTTAGTTAATGTAAGAAATCAGTGGGTAACCACAGGTGTAGTTCATCACATTACATTTTTTCACAAACGTTTGACAACCAATAAATATCCGAGTGCATTTTGTCTTCATTTTGAACACTTTAGCTTTTGTTTTATCATTTAAAACCTAACAAATCCCTTATAAGTTTTGCTTGAAAAGTGTTGAAAATATTTTTAAATATTTATTTATAAATAATTTATTTAAAAATGATTTCATAGTAATGTGATTATATCAGTATAAATTATCATTTACATATGAATATACATTATATTATTATAAATTGTATTTATTTATTTTTAATATTAATATAAACCAATCTATACAATAAATGCAATCTAGTGACATTCAGTGTTTTTAAGTGTGATGTGAGTGTCCATATATTTTTGAGTCTACCTGTATGTACTAAATTCATAATTTAAAAAAATAACTGGGTAATACAGTCCACTATACATCTGACTCCGCCCCCAGGAGAGAACATGACTATTCTAAACACGGCTGATTGGCTGCTGGGCTGCAATACCCCGCCCACTGCCCCAAGTATGAAGAACGATGGTATACTGCATGTGTTTGTGGAGTGTACATATATGATAGCACGTGTGTGAGTGTTTGGGTACAGTGCTTTGGAGGGCTTGCTTTAGTACTTTTAGAGTTTGTTTGATTTTGAGAGGTTTGAGAGGAGTTTGACAGCAGACAGGATGCCTTATATCTTTCTTGGTCTCTCTTTAAGTTAAGTCTGAGCCTCTGAACAGCAGCGAGGCTGTGAACTCGGCAGGAGACACTGGGCTGGACACTTACACTGGGTCAGGTAAGACATCCACACACACACGCTCACATGCGCTGCATTCAGAATGCCTGCTGTAATCCCGCTTGGGAACTTGCTGAAGGCTCTGAGCCCTCAATCTTTGTACTGCCCTTGAGCTAACGTCATCAGAGCCACAAACTCTTTATTTAGATCAATGTGCTCACACACAAACACACACACACTCAGAGACTGAGAAACCCTCTGTCCATGCGCTCCCCTGCAGAGAAGGTTGAGACCCTTGCTTGAGCTGACAGTGTGATGTCTCTATAGAGAAGACAACAGCATGTTCGTTTATATGCACTGCAAAAAAAGTCTTATTTTCCAGTAAAAAGAATTCAGACAAGATTTACTAGGTAAGTCAGACATGTTTTCAGGGAATATAATATTCCATATTCTTTTCTTGTTTTAAGTATAAAAAGGTCATGAGTCATGAGTTACCATTGGTAATAAATCTTTTAATAAATAAATGAGGCTTGAATAAATATATACTCTATAAAGGCTTGTTTTCAGAGACTACATCTATAAAATATCTATATAGACTAAAGAGTATATCTATGACTTTACTGTGTGTACTTTAGAAATGTCACTGACAAATAAGACAAAAACACTAAGAAATACTTATTCTGTGTGTGTGTGTGTGTTTATATATATCTCTAAAACTAAAACAGTATATACAGTGGGTACGGAAAGTATTCAGACCCCCTTAAATTTTTCACTCTTTGTTATATTGCAGCCATTTGCTAAAGTCATTTAAGTTAATTTTTTTTCCTCATTAATGTACACACATCACCCCATATTGACAGAAAAACACAGAATTGTTGACATTTTTGCAGATTTATTAAAAAAGAAAAACTGAAATTTCACATGGTCCTAAGTATTCAGACCCTTTGCTGTGACACTCATATATTTAACTCAGGTGCTGTCCATTTCTTCTGATCATCCTTGAGATGGTTCTACACCTTCATTTGAGTCCAGCTGTGTTTGATTATACTGATTGGACTTGATTAGGAAAGCCACACACCTGTCTATATAAGACCTTACAGCTCACAGTGCATGTCAGAGCAAATGAGAATCATGAGGTCAAAGGAACTGCCTGAAGAGCTCAGAGACAGAATTGTGGCAAGGCACAGACCTGGCCAAGGTTACAAAAACATTTCTGCTGCACTTAAGGTTCCTAAGAGCACAGTGGCCTCCATAATCCTTAAATGGAAGACGTTTGGGACGACCAGAACCCTTCCTAGAGCTGGCCGTCCAGCCAAACTGAGCTATCGGGGGAGAAGAGCCTTGGTGAGAGAGGTAAAGAAGAACCCAAAGATCACTGTGGCTGAGCGCCAGAGATGCAGTCAGGAGATGGGAGAAAGTTGTAGAAAGTCAACCATCACTGCAGCCCTCCACCAGTCGGGGCTTAATGGCAGAGTGGCTCGACGGAAGCCTCTCCTCAGTGCAAGACACATGAAAAAACACCTGAAGGACTCCAAGATGGTGAGAAATAAGATTCTCTGGTCTGATGAGAACTTTTTGGCCTTAATTCTAAGCGGTATGTGTGGAGAAAACCAGGCACTGCTCATCACCTGTCCAATACAGACCCAACAGTGAAGCATGGTGGTGGCAGCATCATGCTGGGGGGGTGTTTTTCAGCTGCAGGGACAGGACAACTGGTTGCAATCGAGGGAAAGATGAATGCGGCCAAGCACAGGGATATCCTGGACGAAAACCTTCTCCAGAGTGCTCAGGACCTCAGACTGGGCCAAAGGTTTACCTTCCAACAAGACAATGACCCTAAGCACACAGCTAAAATAACGAAGGAGTGGCTTCACAACAACTCTGTGACTGTTCTTGAATGGCCCAGCCAGAGCCCTGACTTAAACCAAATTGAGCATCTCTGGAGAGACCTAAAAATGGCTGTCCACCAACGTTTACATCCAACCTGACAGAACTGGAGAGGATCTGCAAGGAGGAATGGCAGAGGATCCCCAAATCCAGGTGTGAAAAACTTGTTGCATCTTTCCCAAAAAGACCCATGGCTGTATTAGATCAAAAGGGCGCTTCTACTAAATACTGAGCAAAGGGTCTGAATACTTAGGACCATGTGATATTTCAGTTTTTCTTTTTTAATAAATCTGCAAAAATGTCAACAACTCTGTGTTTTTCTGTCAATATGGGGTGCTGTGTGTACATTAATGAGGAAAAAAAATTAACTTAAATGATTTTAGCAAATGGCTGCAATATAACAAAGAGTGAAAAATTTAAGGGGGTCTGAATACTTTCCGTACCCACTGTATATATCTGTCTAAAACTAAAAGCCTCAGAAATTGCGTTTTACTGAAAAATAAGACAAATACTGATTAAGAAAATGATTTGGACTGGGAAATGTTTCAGCTCAGGAAGGGAATTATGACAAGTAAATGCCAAAATTTGTTTTTGATTTTGCATCTCAAGGAGAAAAGAGGAAGAGAGGGAAGGCAGGAGGAGGAAACAAGGACATTCTTTGATGTAGAAAGAAGATTTTTGAGAGAATAGTTCCTGTTATTTGTTTTTTCTGCTATTTCTTAAATTGAATCCAGCTGGTGAGAAAGACTGTGAGCTGTCAATCAAAACTGTGAGCTGCGTGTGTGTGTGTGGATTTAAATTGAAGGCTCTTGGCAAAATCTCTTCAAATGGAAGAAGTCCAGCACACATTTTATTTTATGGTTGTGATATGTAATAAATTACACATTCAGTCCAATGACAACTGACATGCAGTACTGACTGCTGATACATCCTAGTAAAGTGTATGTGTGTGTGCGCCATTGTGCGTGAAAACGATTCAGTTTGTCTAGCTGATTTCTTTATTTTTTTCTTCTTTTGTTTTTTGTGTAGTTATAAGCAGCAGTGGATTCAGCCCTCGGCCAGCTCACCAGTATTCACCTCCTCTCTACCCCTCAAAGTATGACACAGACACAATATGATTCAAAAAAAGTAAATGCAAAAACATTTAACCATCTTCACTGGGGTCATCACAGTGTTGAACCAGACAAATTAACAATGGCGGTTGATGTCAAAAAGGCAGCCGACCCTTGATCTAATCAAATGAAAGCTGAATGTTTTGATTTTGTGTTTGATTGGCAGGCCTTACCCCCACATTCTTTCTACTCCCGTGGCTCCTCCCATGTCGGCCTACACGGGCCAATCACAGTTCACTAGCATGCAGCAGTCCACAGTTTACACACCCTACTCTCAAACTACTCCACCCTACGGCCTCTCCACCTATGGTAGGTCCTTTACCTTCGCTAACATGCTGAAGGATGGCATATATGTGTGTTGTTTATTCAGTGTGAGATGATGATAATATAATCTAGTATTTATAATAGAATATGCGATTTTATGTGAAAGAGCCTTTAGTATCAATCCAGTTTGATTGACAGGTCCACTCTCTTGATCTTGAGCTACAGATTTGGGGGTGATGTTGCCAGGCATAAAGACAGAAGGAGGGCTGACACAAACCCAATCAACCCTCCAATCAGGGCTCAGCTATAGCGCTGGATTTACCACTCCTCAGCCCGGACAGACAGCATATTCACCCTATCAGATGCCAGGTGAGTATGTTTATGCAACCAAATATAAGAGTCTGTAACTATATTAATAATACTGCACAGCCTCAAATGCTGTACACAGTAGAAGATACCAGTTGTTATGTGACAAAAATAACAATCACTTGTAAGAGCCGCTAATTACTTGTTAAAATTATGTAAAGGAGCAGTTCACCAAAAATGTTTTTAAAATATTGTCAGTATTTTACATGATATATTTCTGAATTGCTTAAGTTACATACAGTTAAGCATTTTTAGAGAACTGTTATGGAACAAAATATTGTTTATTGCCATAAAACGACAGTTCATAGTGACCAGAATCTGAAAAAACACCATAAAAGCAATAAAAGTAGTCCATACGAGTTTTCAAGTCTTTTGAAAATATATGATTGCAGCTAGTTCAGATTTGATGCCATTTGATTGGCTTTAACATATGTAACTAAATGCAACTTATTATTTTGAATTCTGGATGTGATTATCAATGTTGTTACTGCTGACTAAAACTATTAAAAACATTTTTTTAATTGAAAGAAAACTGAAATAAAAATATTAGAGAAACTTGAACTAAACAAAAATTTGAAAGGTTGCCTTGAAAACTAAGTAAGTTTAAATTGGAGCACAAAAAATTACTAACTGGAATTAAATAAAAACTAAAACTGAAATGAAAATAAATTATATCAAAATAATAAAATGTAAAAAGAACAAAAAAATCAATAGTGTATAAATAATACTAAAATAATTACCTGTGCTTTTTCCTGTTCTTTTTTATGCTTGACAGCCTATAGTCCCTATAAACTATGGTTGTATGGCTAGCGCTGTGTCAATTGTTCAAAAAAATGCCTTTGTGTACTGCAGAAAAAATAACAGCATACAATGTTTGGAAAAACATGATAGTAATTAAGGATAGCATTTTCACTTTTGGGTATTTTACTATTTGGGTATTTCACTTTTTGGTGAGATCTGTTAGTCGTTGACTCACACTGGCTTTTCTCTCGCTCAGCAGCGTCAGGTTACACAACCTCTCCTGGTCTCTACACATCCAACAACTCCAATCCAGGCAACTTCACCACACAACAGGTACGGTCACACGTGCACAGATGAACACACACATGCACCAATAATGTCAAAGTTCAGCAAAGGACTGAGTCTTTTTAAAACAGCCCATGCCTCAGAAAACAGATCGCCATCCTTCATCTGAGAGAATTTATGCTTTTAGGACTTAATGTTTCCCTAAACTTTTATGATTGAACGTGCTGCCAACGAAAAGGACCCAACTACACTTAGACTCCCACTGATGAATTTAGCTGTGTAAACAAAGTGAGGTTCTGGCGATGGTTGAAATTAAGGAGTAAGCGGAATTAGGATGAAATGACAGCGTGAAAGCAGTAGTGGAGTTTCGCCGAGAGCATTTTACTGCAGCGCTCATGTTCTTGAGCGAGTGAGTCAGTGACAGTTTTAGAGTCATCTCCCGTAAGAGATCCGACAGTGTCTGAGCATATAAAACTCTCTCAAAGATACAAGAGAAATCAGGGAGTGATAAAAAACTGTGTGTGGATGAGCCAGAAATCTGTACGTTCCAGTCCTATTACTTGATCATTTTTTCTCTTTATTATTCCCCTGATAAACCCCCTCTCCCTTTCTTATTCATTCATTTAAGAACATAAAACCTATATTCTTTCCACAGTTTACTAAATTATAGAGGGGAGTGGGGCAAGTTGTCACACTCCAGTGTTTATTTCTTAGGGTAGGTCTACTGTACATTGGCTACATACATTGACATTTTGTGACAACATCCCCCAATAGCAGGCTTCAAACATTATAAAACAACAAGCAAAAATGTAAAAGGTGACATCAAACCGCCGTTTTGTTCAACAAATTTTTTTATTACATTTACTGCATAATTATATGTAATTGCATCATGTATATTTTTATATATCACTTAAAAATACCCTGTCTGCTTTCTGGTCAGATTTTGGTTTTGAGTTGGATTTATATTTTGTAATCGATGAATAAATAAATAAATATTTATTATTTTGATTTTGTTTGTTTGTAGCAGGAATATCCCTCCTATACAGCTTTTGGGCAGAATCAGTATGCTCAGTATTACTCCACCTCCTCCTACGGTTCTTACATGACATCTAACAGCTCATTGGACGGCACAGTTTCAGTCTCCACCTATCAGCTGCAAGACTCCACCCCTATCATGACAGGACAAGCGGCTGACCTGAATCCAGGTAAGTGCCCAGAACATCCTAGCAACCGCATAGCAGTGAGCTAAAAACTCCTTAAAGCACCTTGTTTTGAATCTAGCAAAAACCCCTAGCATCATGGAAGCAACTTTTGCACAGGCAGTGTTTTTGACGGTATGATAACCTTAAGCAAAAAATATAACAGTATCACGGTATCACGGTATTGTCGTTACAGCTCTAAAATGTGTTATTTTTAAATGACTGGGTAAAAAATTAAAAATAAATTAGCTGAACACAATATATTTTGTTTTTGAGCAACATACAGAATATTAGGAACAGTAGAATCTTTATTTAATCTAAATCTGTAATTACAATTATTTAAGTTTAGTTATATAATTCATATACATATCATTTAGCTACAGATTTGGGGGTGATGTTGCCAGGCATAAAGACAGAAGGAGGGCTGACACAAACCCAATCAACCCTCCAATCAGGGCTCAGCTATAGCGCTGGATTTACCACTCCTCAGCCCGGACAGACAGCATATTCACCCTATCAGATGCCAGGTGAGTATGTTTATGCAACCAAATATAAGAGTCTGTAACTATATTAATAATACTGCACAGCCTCAAATGCTGTACACAGTAGAAGATACCAGTTGTTATGTGACAAAAATAACAATCACTTGTAAGAGCCGCTAATTACTTGTTAAAATTATGTAAAGGAGCAGTTCACCAAAAATGTTTTTAAAATATTGTCAGTATTTTACATGATATATTTCTGAATTGCTTAAGTTACATACAGTTAAGCATTTTTAGAGAACTGTTATGGAACAAAATATTGTTTATTGCCATAAAACGACAGTTCATAGTGACCAGAATCTGAAAAAACACCATAAAAGCAATAAAAGTAGTCCATACGAGTTTTCAAGTCTTTTGAAAATATATGATTGCAGCTAGTTCAGATTTGATGCCATTTGATTGGCTTTAACATATGTAACTAAATGCAACTTATTATTTTGAATTCTGGATGTGATTATCAATGTTGTTACTGCTGACTAAAACTATTAAAAACATTTTTTTAATTGAAAGAAAACTGAAATAAAAATATTAGAGAAACTTGAACTAAACAAAAATTTGAAAGGTTGCCTTGAAAACTAAGTAAGTTTAAATTGGAGCACAAAAAATTACTAACTGGAATTAAATAAAAACTAAAACTGAAATGAAAATAAATTATATCAAAATAATAAAATGTAAAAAGAACAAAAAAATCAATAGTGTATAAATAATACTAAAATAATTACCTGTGCTTTTTCCTGTTCTTTTTTATGCTTGACAGCCTATAGTCCCTATAAACTATGGTTGTATGGCTAGCGCTGTGTCAATTGTTCAAAAAAATGCCTTTGTGTACTGCAGAAAAACGCTGAACACAATATATTTTATTTTTGATCAACATACAGAATATTAGGAACAGTAGAATCTTTATTTAACCTAAATCTGTAATTACAATTATTTAAGTTTAGTTATATAATTCATATACATATCATTTATATAATTTAATATCATTTAGCTATATAATTTCGTATACATAATTTGATTTAATAATAACCCAATTTGAAGCAAAAACTGAAATTATACTACATGCCTGAACGAAGCAAACAGCAGATGCTCTGAATGAGACGCAGATTCACTCTCTGACAGCAGGAGGCGCTTCTGGAACACCAGATATGGCGTTTCCTTGGTTACCGCTGTAAACAAAGCAGCACTGTGCTGAAACACTGCTTTAATATGAACTATACAGAGACGAGATTAAAAGAAAATACCACGTAAACTTTTCTGAAGACTTTTCAGTTCCCCTCAGAAACACATTCATATAAACCCCCAAATCAATATTGAGGATTTTCTTCCAATAGTTTGTGCATCATGAACAGCGAGTGATCTGCCTGCTACAGTATTTTTCTCTGTGCATCCGTCTTCAACGTCTCTGGCCTGTGTTAACGGGCGTTTACAGACATATTTTCACATAAATTACATTTTGGAAAACGATTGCATTGCAACGCAGTTTGTGCAAGTCCAGAACAGAGACGAGTTGCTTGCAATAAGACAAAAAAACGTCCGGTTGCCGATCGCGCAAGTTCCAGGGGAAGCTCCTTCAGTCGTCATACACACACACACACACACACACACACACGTGACTGACCGCTCGCTTGCACCAACAGGAGGAGGAGGGTCGTGTTACTCTCTACACGGCACTCAACTTGAAAGATGCCTACACTTTCAGTCTTTGAGGAGACATGAAAAACAGCACATACCGCAGGAACGGTATAACGGAAAATATTAGTCAGATTTTCAAATCGCGGTATACCTTGAAACCGGTAATCGGCCCATGCCTAGGCAGTGTTCTTCAGTAAAAACAAGTTTTACCTCATAAACATCTCTACTGTTGTCTGTTATATGTCAAAAATGGGATCATTGCCATTGTAGTTTAAAGTTAATCATTCCAATAGAGCAGCTAATGACGCAGTTGAAAGTTAGAATGTTCTGTTACAGGGCTTTTGGCACGAAGGTGTCGTGTACTGTAGTTGTTGATTATGTTAGTAGAGCGATGGTGATTGGGGGTTTTGTCCAGCAGGCCCAAAATTCAGTGGGGTCCTAAAGCTGCATTTCTCAGTGATTTAGCTTGGCTGCAGTACAGCAGAGCTCATTACAGTAAATTTGCTCTCACGCATAGACACACAAACATTATGTTCTATCAGATGTGCCAATTTCCCACTTTCAATACTTATGTAAAACATGGTTTTTGTTAAATAAAAAACAGACATGAGAATGTACAAACTCAAACTTTGTTGTTTTAGATTCACGTATACAATCCCTGATTAAAAAGAAATAATGTGACCGCAAAGCATTATCTTTATTTCTTTGGTTTACAGGACATATAAAGTATTAAGCCCCGTTAACACCAAGAACGATAACTTTAAAGATAACTATTTTAGCATCCACACCAGCGGATGATATCGTCTGTTTATTCTAAGTGCACGCTCAAATAAATTCTTGATTGGGTGTCAATGTTTGTTTTGTTCATCAGCTGGAAAAAAATTGTTCCGAAAGTGATTCCAAAGATATCGTTTCTCTGTGCCTTTATCGTTATAGCTGTGGTATGACTATTCTTAAACATTGAGAATGATTTTTAGAACTATATCTTTATCGTTATCTCTATAGTTATCATCCTTGGTGTGAACGGGCCTTTAGGGTGAATTTTTGATGCTCAACTGAAAGGTTCATGGTTTCGGCATAAAACATACATATTCAAGCCAGTGAGTAAGCTTTTAGGAAGCTTTGATGTGTCATAAATGTTTCTTGGTTCTCTTTTGCAGGTGAGTTTGAGGCGGGGCAGAGCCCATCCACACCAATCAAGGAGATGGAGGACCGGGCGTGCAGAGGAGGTGGGGCTAAAGCAAGGGGGCGGGGCAGAAAGAACAACCCATCCCCACCACCTGACAGTGACCTTGAGGTATGTACAGATAGATAGATAGATAGATAGACATAAATCTCATAAATGCACAGACAGTTGAAGCAGATGCTTGCATCATCTAATGTTAACATCCTCTCACTACACAATCCCTGTGTCATCACTTTGTTTACTGAGACCAAACATGTGTCTGATGTGTTTTTACAGAGGGTGTTTGTTTGGGATCTGGATGAGACTATTATTGTGTTTCACTCACTCCTCACAGGCTCTTTTGCACAGAAGTACGGCAAGGTGAGTGCAAACACGGACTATGCACACATATTAAACACACTTCCCTCCACTATAGTGACAGTGACCATCTTCCTGTGATTCCTGATTATTCTTGGTAAGCAGACAATGTGGAAGGTTATGTAAATGCTTTAATTAGTATTGTTTTATCTGATAATAGTCAAAAATAGTTTAAGCAAAACTGATCGGTACACACAAATTTGCCTCTTACCCTGATATCTTTCTGTCAGTGTGGCAGTGTTCTGGTGGCCTAATTGGTGTTGCGTGTTGGTTTACATTTTGACATGACATAACCTTAATTTTAAGTGTCATGTCAGTTCAGTTTTATTCTATAATTGTGTTTTTATAATGAGCCAACTTTTGCTAGTTAGCAACATTTAGAAGTGCATGTAAATGCACCGTTTTGTTTCTTTTTCCTCCAAAAAACTTACACATACACAGTAAAAAAGGTGTAGGATTTACTATTTACATTTTTTACTCAGAAATTCCTAGTAAATTTCACAAATAATTACAAAGAAATGACAAGTAACGCATTGAATTAATCATGAAAGTTTGAAGTAGATATACTGAAATAGTATTTTTTGTAAAACATACTCCCAATAATCTTTCACTGACAACTTTGAAAAATATATTTTTTTGTGTGTTTATCTCCAGAATGCAATAGTAAATTTTGAATCTTGACTCAATATTAGGACTCCCACAACAACTGTGCACTTCTATCATAGGCACAGTGCAGAAGAACGGAGTTGTTAGATTCGGCACTGTGACGGCCGGATTCAAGGAGTGTGAAACGTCAGACATCTTCTGACACCTTCCCTCATTTCTTGTCGTTCAGTTGGTGAGAGACATAGAGACAGCTGTGGCTATTCACGGCTCTGGGGCTATTTCTGCAGGCTCTGTGACGATGAAAACCCTCCGTTCTTAGGCACTCTCATCAGAGACATTGCACATGCTGTCAAGCTCAAGTGCCAGCACACACCGATCTATAGATTAATTACCGAAACAATTGTGAAATTACCGAACCTCAGAGTTCAAAAGTGGGAAAAGCAGCTCTACGCCAATGTCTTGAATTGTTTATTTTGATTGAAAAAAAATTGCCTCAATAATTTTTTAACGTTTGCTTAGATTAAGTTTAAACATTTTCAAACAGTTGAATCATCATTTCCAATCTCTGTCAGTTTCGCCATTAACTTTGTGTGTGTGTGTGTGTGTGTGTGTGTGTGCTTTTCTATTCTCGTTCGCTGTCTCAGCCAATCACCTCTGAGCCAACAAACTCCATCACATATGATGATTTTTACAGCTGGGTGCCCTCCCCCTCTCTCGTTCTTTCACTGTGTGTGTGTGTGTGTGTGTGTGTGTGTGTGTGTGTGTGTGTGTGGTTTGAAGGGTGAGAGCGTCTAATGTTCTGAGACAAGTGTAGTATCTGTCATCATTTGATGGAAACGTGGAACATTTTATTTACTGGGCAAAATGTGCATTTGAAATATTCATATCGAGCCAGAAATATTAATTTCGAAAGAAAGAGAAGGATGTGTAATTTGATAGTCTGCACATTTGGAGTTTGGTTTCTATAGTAAAAATTATAATTTTTTTATGTATCTTTTGAACTCCCAATATGAGGTTTAAAATTAAAGTTCTTATGTTATTAGTTCTTTCATTGGCTTACACTGAATATTCAGCTTTCAAAATGATGTTATTGATGGATGCAATGATGTAATCGTCATTTTTGTATACTGATTTTTTCTATTCGCTTATTTTCCGTCTTAACTTGTTCTTTGCATATATTTAATCATTTACATTTATAGCCGCCTTTACACTGACTATGGCTCCATTTGCCATCTAGATGAAATATTTTACTGAGCTGAGCTTGTCGCAATGCATTCTGGGATTGCCTTCTCTGCAATACATTCAAAGCTGTCTTAAAATATGGCCAGACATAATGGATTTACCACAATTCTGGAATAGCCTCTGCATTAGGAGTTTCCATGATGCCTTAAAATGTACAAAAAAATGCATATTGAGTGTCCAAACAACAGTTGGGAAAATGTTTAACTATGTTAGGTTTTTATTGGTGATGATGATAATAGTTGTCCAATAAAAATATCCTAACAATTATCATTTGAATTCTCAGGACCCTCCTTTGGCTGTGACTCTTGGTTTAAGAATGGAGGAGATGATCTTCAATCTTGCCGATACACATCTATTTTTTAATGATTTAGAGGTTAGCAAACAGCTGTCCTCTTGTCCCCTTTGTCTTAATTGTTTCCTCAGTCTTTTTCCAGTCAGAGTGTGTTTATGTGACTGTGTGGCCCCCTGCTGGTTAACAATAGTAACACCACTGTGTTTGGATAGGAGTGTGACCAAGTGCACATTGATGACGCCTCTTCAGATGATAACGGACAGGACCTCAGGTGAGTTTATCATCTGAATGATTTGATTGAATTAACAGTTTTTAAACTTTGATTTCAAATTATTTATTTTAAAGATACCCATTACTCATTCAGCTGTAACAAAAAAAGTAATAAAATATGCCCTAAAATATGTCTGAATATGTATTTTACTTGTATGTAAAACAAGATTGTTATTGTTATTATCAACAGTACTTACAGCTTTGCCACTGATGGCTTCCATGCAGCTGCAACAAGCGCAAGTCTCTGCCTAGCAACCGGTGTTAGGGGCGGAGTCGACTGGATGAGGAAGTTAGCTTTCCGATACAGAAGAGTCAAAGAGTTGTACTGCAGTTACAAAAACAATGTGGGAGGTAAGATCTGATTACAAGTTGAAATCTTTTACAGTAATTTTTACAGGATTAGATCTAAATCTCCATAGCTGTGTTTTTTATTATTATTTGTATACACTATTATAGTATTTATTAGTGATGCAACAATACAGTTAGTCCACGGTCCAATACATACCTCGGTTTTTAACCACAGTTTTCGGTTCGGTTCTGATAGCTTGGCACATCAGAATGTTTTGGTTTTTTTTGCAACAAATTAACAACAAAAAACTCCTGTAAACCTCTGTACACTGGAGAACGCATGGATTATTATATGTTTGCTTAACATTTCTTTTGAGAGAGGTATTATTTTTCCGATTTTTACCAAAAAATAGGATGGATTGGCCATTACTGAGTATTATAAACACATGTAATGTGTGTTTCATTCATACTGAACGCCAGAGGGCACCCTCATGCAGAAATTCCACCTATGCATCACAAAAATAACAGGACTGATGACATTCCAGGAAATCCCTAATATGGATAAAGGCATTGCTATTGCTGTAACTGAATAAAAAGAAGATATAATATAAAACATTTTAAATGATAAAATGTAAGGACAATATATGGTTTATCTGTATTCTTCAAGCCATCTCAGGAATTTTCATAATGATTAAGTATATTTTTAAGCCATTTCTAATCGACATAGCTTTTATTACAGTATACAATATATTTTCTCGGGATGCAACGATATCATTTTTTCAGAACCGGTCCGATACCAAAAATTCTGAGTATCAGCCAATTCTGAGCCGATCCGATATCAGCGCAGTTTTTTTTTTTTTAAATCAATGTATAATATCTATACTTCTGTGGGTTGACCTGATCATCACTCTTGTGTGTGTTAAACACAATTGGCTAAATATAGACAACTTCATTTTAATGAAAAATAACAAATGAAAAAAATATATAATCATAATCTATGACAAAAAATACTATTATAAACTAGGTTAGTGGATAATTCAGCAGCAAAAGTTATTCTAGAAAAATCATGAGTGCACAATAGTTTTATAAAAACATTAAACTAAACTAAACATTTAGTGAAACAACATTATTTAGTGGAGAACAAATAAAAGTTATTAAGTGTAGGACTAAATCTGGTAAAATGTTACACATTGCTCTTTGTATTGTAAAATACATTAATGAAAAACAAGTAGCCTAAATATGTATATAAAATATATACTATAAAATTAAAAGACATTTCTTTTAAATGCATAGCACAGTAATGAAGGCAGCAACATATGATAGATAGAACAGAACAAAAAAGACTATTGATAATCTTTCATTGCGCAAAAGTATATGAAAGGGTATGGCTCCAATACAGAGCGGCACAAAGCGCTTATGCACATCCCATGCCCAGAATGATACGCTTAAAGCAACACGGCGTTACAGTGCGCAGCGCTCTGCATAAAAAAGGAAAGATATATTGATGCATAGTATATTATATCTGTGCGATATTTTATTGAGCCTTTTCTTTTAACAGTTTTAAATATCAGTTATTGTGCGCTCTTGAAGAGAGTTTCATCGTTTTGACTGTAGTAACCGAAAGCGACACACAGTTTGAATGCTGAATGGAGGATGACATACAGACGCAGCGGGGAAAAGAGTTTACGTGAATTTGACTTAAATATTCATCTATACTTCACATTAAACTATGGAATGGCTTCAGAACACTTGAAATATAGTGCACAAAAACTTTATGGTGCTTTATAATGTTTTTGTGCCTTTTGTGGGGCAGTAACACAGAATAGTATACGCACAGTATTGGATTTGGATCGGTCTTGTCTGACCGATACCTGATCCGGCAGAAAATGCCAGTATCGGAGCCGATAGCGATACGGAGTATCGGATCGATGCATCCCTAATATTTTCTACCTCATTCTGTGATAAGAAGCCACATCAGATCACAAAAGGAAGTTTCTTCAAACACTCGACTAATGTTGTTAAGTAAAAACAAGTTATAATGTTCTCTTTTGTTGGACAACACACAGCCAGTTCTGAGAGAAATTAAAAAAACGCAGAAATTATTTTAACGCAAAACCGAAAAACCGCTATTAATAAGACAGAAAATTACCAAAATGGCAGTGATTTCCCAGTCTAATTGTAAGTACAGTGCTTTTATACAGTGGGGCAAAAAAGTATTTAGTCAGCCACCAATTGTGCAAGTTCTCCCACTTAAAAAGATGAGAGAGGCCTGTAATTTTCATCATAGGTATACCTCAACTATGAGAGACAAAATGAGAAAAAAAAAATCCAGAAAATCACATTGTAGGATTTTTAAAGAATTTATTTGCAAATTATGGTGGAAAATAAGTATTTGGTCAATAACAAAATTTCATCTCAATACTTTGTTATATACACTTTGTTGGCAATGACAGAGGTCATACATTGTGTTAATAAAATGCTCTTAAATTTTGTAAAATCCTTGTTATTTCTCTAAAGTGATGTTTTAATTTTTATGGTTTAACATTCAAATTCTGCCTAATTAATGAACTAGATTGTGCCCATTAGTAACCCCAGTTTCATGCAATAATATATGCTATATTTATGAATGTGGCGTTTTGTTTATGATCTATTTTAGGGTTGCTGGGACCGGCTAAGAGGGAGGCGTGGCTCCAGCTGAGGGCAGAAGTTGAGGCTCTCACAGACTCCTGGCTGACCACTGCGCTCAAGTCCCTGTCAATCATCAGCTCCAGGTCTGTCTCCAGCATCAGCCTTTGTCATTGAGGACTATAGCTTAACACAGCAAAAAATCACAATCTCTGTCTCTCTTGCCCAGGAGTAACTGTGTTAACGTCTTAGTGACAACGACACAGTTAATACCTGCGCTGGCTAAAGTGCTGTTGTATAGCCTGGGCTCAGCGTTTCCAGTTGAAAACATTTACAGCGCAACCAAAATAGGTGAGTTCAGATACAGGTCCATACAGCAGACTTTGCCTTGAGTTCATCATGTAAATTGTGTTGAACTGTTTATTTCCATTTCATTGAACTGTTTCATTTCATTTCTGAAATCAAGGGTGATGTAGAGTTCAGTCTGTGTGGAACATGCTTTGGCTCACATTGTTGCATTAAATCATAAATCAAAACAGATCAGGATGACCTGGTCATAACGTCCACATTCACTCTGTCTGATCATGTGGAATTGATTCTGATTGGCTGATCTGTCATCATCTTCCAGGGTTAAATTATTATTTCGTTACGCTCCTTTATAAACAGCCGTCTTCATTCACAATGAGTTTATTCCACTCTCTATTCCGAAACACCCTATTTGAGCTGATATGTTGCTTAACAAATACAGTTACAACTGCTTTCTTCAAGGCCTCGTTTTAAATGTAAACCTGAACTCTGGCCAAGTGAATTGGTTCGTCAAGTGATTCCATAACTAAAATTACTAAAACTTAAATATATAACAATGAATTTCAATTTAAATTAAATAAAGAAAAGAGAAGATCTAATTTAATAATGTAATATTTCAATTATTTTTCCATAAAATACAATTCAAATTTTATTTATTTCTTTTTAAGTTACTACACCACACATTTATTACAATCAAACAAACAAACAATAAATAAAATACTGAGGGAGACAAAAGCCCTATTTAAACAGTAATTGTTTCTCACGGGAATATAAGGTATTTTTATCATTTGCAAGGGCTAGTTGATGATTTTATTGCTGTCCAAATCCAAAATGTCAGTGTTTTTCTCCCAGCACCTGCATAAAAATTCCAGGCCAGATTACCTATTGTTTTCTGACAAACACCAAGTCGTGTGGTAATTCAACTACCATGCGAATCCACATCTCTGAGTTTACAAGAAGGGATAAATCTAAAATTTTTGTATATCCTTTTTTAAACACTGCCAAGTACTGTACGATACTGCTGAAAGGCTGGAAACTGTTTACTAGAATAATATTACGTCATTGATCCACTACAGTGAAAGGATCAAAAAGAAAAGAAGAAGAAGAAGAAGAAGAGAACAAGAAGAAAAAGACAACAATCACATAGAGTGCTGTGAAAAGGTTTTTTCTCCCTTCCTGTTTTTTAATTTTTTTGCATATTTGTCACACTTAAAAGATTCAGATCATCAAACAAATTTTAATATTACACAAAGATAATGCAAGTAAATACAAAATGCAGTTTTTAAATGATGATTTCATTTATTAAGGGAAAAAAGCTGTCCAAACCTACGTGGCCCTACGTGAAAAATGAATTGCCCCCTCCTGTTAAATCATGAAAGAAGTGCAATTAACCACATTATTTTAGAAAGCGGAATTAAATTTCACTAGCCACATCCAGGCCTGATTACTGCCAGACCTGTTGAATCTAGAAATCACTTAAATAGAACCTGTCTGACAAAGCATGCTTAAAGAGCAACACATCATGCCGCGATCTAAAGAAATTCAAGAACAGATGAGAAACAAAACAGTTGACAAGAATCAGTCTGGAAAGGGTTATAAAGCAATTTCTAAGGCTTTGGTACTCCAGTGAACCATGGTCAGAGCCGTTATCCACAAATGGAGAAAACTTGGAACAGTGAACCTTCCCAGGAGTTGCCGGCCAACCAAAATTACTCCAAGAGCGCAACGACAACTCATCCAGGAGGTCATAAAAGAACCCAGAACAGCATATAAAGAACTGCAGGCCTTACTTGCCTCAATTAAGGTCAGTGTTCATGATTGAACAATTAGAAAGAGACTGGGCAGAAACGGCATCCATGGGAGAGTTCGAAGGCAAAAGCAACTGCTGACCAAAAAGAACACAAAGGCTTGTCTCACATTTGCCAAAAAATATCTTGATTATTCCCAAGACTTTTGGGCAAATATTCTGTGGACTGATGAGACAAAAGTTGAACTTTTTGGGGATAAGAAGTTACAGTGTGTGTCCCGTTACATCTGGCGTAAAACCAACAGCCTAACATGGTGGTGGTAGTGTGATGGTCTGGGGCTGCTTTGCAGCTTCAGGACCTGGATGACTTGCCATAGTTGATAGATCCATGAATTCTGCACTCTATCAGAAAATCCTGAAGGAGAATGTCCGGCCATCAGTTTATTATTATTATTTTTATTACAGGAATTATTTTTTCACGTAGGACCAGGCAGGTTTGGACTGCTTTTTCCCTTAATAAAAGAAATAATCATTTAAAAACTGCATTTTGTATTTACTTGCATTATCTTTGTGTAATATTAAAATGTATTTGATGATCTGAATCTTTTAAGTGTGACAAATATGCAAAAAAAAAAAAAAAAAACCCGAAGGGGGCAAAATCCTTTTCACAGCACTGTAGATGTTTGGATAGATAGATAGATAGATTACCATCTGAAAGCGTGAGTTTTATGACTGAGGGGCTTATGTTTCAAATCCCGTCTTGAGTGAATTCTCCAAAACGTGGAGTTGTCTTGTTGACCCAAAGCCCGATTCCACACAGTTACAGAACCCATGCTCATTGCCATGGTTACAGCAAGAACAAAATATTTGGGAGGTTAGGGTTTGTCTGTGTGCAAGAGCGACTCTCGCTTTGAATTCATGCCGTTTTCACCTTCAAATGGAACCTTCTTTTCATTTCTGCCGTCAAATAATAATACTCAATAATCATGTGGCTTGTTCACCCCATGTGAGTTCTGAGCTTGTTAAGGTTAAATTCTATGCCTTGTTTCCGCAGGTAAAGAGAGCTGTTTTGAACGTATAGTATCCAGGTTTGGCACTAACATAACGTATGTTGTGATTGGCGATGGGCGCGATGAGGAGCATGCAGCCAGCCAGGTAAAATCTCCCGTCTGACCCCAAGCCTCTGACCTGTCACCTTGTTTATGTTGCAGGCAAAGAGGGTTGCTTTGAGCGCATAATGCAGAGGTTTGGCAGGAAGGTAGTGTATGTTGTAATTGGGGATGGTGTAGAAGAGGAGCAGGCCGCTGCCAAGGTAACGACCCGCAGGTGAACCGGAAGCAGTGTGTGACTTCTCAGATTGGACTTCCTACCTGTGTGTGCTGTAGAGCTTTAGATGAAACTGATCGGCAGCTTGTGCGCTTCATTTATTTCCTCCTTTGTAGTTTCCATGTGGATGTCTATAGCGGTTGCTTTTTCCCTCTGATCATCTGAAACCAGCTTTTCTTTCTCAGATCCCAAGCCATCTAGAACAGAGCTATTCAACTGAGGTTCTCCAAGGTCTCAGGCATCTAATCGCATCCCGTGGTTTCCTGCGGTCTGAGATCAGTCAAGTTAAACTCTTATAGATGATCTGCTGAGATGCTGAACCTAAAGACCCAGTTGAATACTTGTGTTCTAGGAAACCACTCTGCAGCAATTCTAAACAAAGTTTGTGTACAATACTGTTCAAATGTTTGGGGTCAGGAAATCTTTATTCATCAAGGATGCATTCAATTGATCAAAGGTGACAGTAAAACCTTACTGTATACATTGTTACAAAAGATACCGGTTTCAAATAATTGCAGTTCTTTTGAGCTTTCTATTTATCAAATAATTCTGATGTTGTAGTTTCCACAATAAATATAAAGCAGCACAACTGTTTTCGACATTAATAAAATAAATGTTTCTTGAGCAGCAAAGCAGCACATTAGAAGGATTTCTGAAGGATCATGTGACACTGAAGACTGGAGTAATGGCTGCTGGAAATTCAGCTTTGCCAGCATAGGAATAAATTACATTTTAAAATATATTCAAGTAGGAAACAGTTGTTCTAAAATGTAACAATTTCACAATATTACTGTTTTACTATATTTTTGATCAAATAAATGCAACCTTGGTGAGCATAACAGACTTTATTAAAAAACATTGAAGACCCCAAACTTTTGAACAGGCAAAAGATAAATAAACAAAAAATATATATTAAAAAATTACATTTGGCGAAAATGTTTTTAATTTTGCAAGATTTTAGAGTGCTAAGCTGAAGGATTTGTAAAGGGTTTATTTGAAATTTCTAAATAAAGTTCAATATAGAAAATTAGTAATTAATATTAATATATAAATGTATATACATATTTAATTTACTTATAGCACTTTACAATAAACTTCAATTTGTTAACATTAATTACTGCAATAGATTCTGCATTTCTACATATATTAAAACAACATTATTATAAAATAAAAATAAAATGTATTAATGTATTACGGGCAATCATGAATTAACAATAACCTGTAGTGTAATTAGAATGAACCTTTATCTAGATTTTAAAAATGCTGTAAAAAATGGTTGTTAATTTAAAAAAAGAATGTATAATTATGTTAACAAATTTAACCTTTTTGTAAAGTGTTAATGTTTTTGATCTGATAAAAAAGTGTTTGTAAATGCTTTACTAAACTCTTTATAACCCCTCTGTACTATAATAATGGGAGTAATGAGAGGCTGTTGTTTTGTATTATGAGTTTTTCTCTGTGTGATCTGGTTGTTGGATCTTTCACCTCATTTTCAGAAATGAAGAGAACTCTTGAGCTATAACAAACAATAATATTAGACCAAGCCTTAGTAGAGTGGCTTAACATGCCTGCATGGATATTGCTAGAAAATGTTCAGCATTGAAGCAAATGCTATTTTCTGTTTTCAGATGCACTCACAGTCAGTCTGTTTCTCCCCACAGCACAACATGCCCTTCTGGCGGATATCCAGCCACTCTGACCTGCTTGCCCTCCATCAAGCACTGGAATTCGAGTACCTGTAACACTCGACACCTGTATCATAGGCCTTTTTTGTACAACTATTTAAGAACAAGAGTACACTGCAATCTCTTTTTATGTTGTTGTTGTCTTTTTGATTATTTTTAAGAAAACTCTGGCTTTTAAGATATTTCTGCACTGTCTTAAGAAGACTAGGACAGACTAGGATGAGGGAAAATGGGATTTTAATGGTTAAACCAGGCTTGTAAAGAGCTTACTAAGGTCTTACGTCTCACCTCATTTTCAGAAATGAAGAGAACTCTTGAGCTATAGCAAACAATAATATTAGACCAAGCCTTAGTAGAGTGGCTTAACATGCCTGCATGGATTTTGCAAGAAAATGTTCAGCATTGAAGCAAATGCTATTTTCTGTTTTCAGACGCACTCACAGTCAGTCTGTTTCTCCCCACAGCACAACATGCCCTTCTGGCGGATATCCAGTCACTCTGACCTGCTTGCCCTCCATCAAGCACTGGAATTCGAGTACCTGTAACACTCGACACCTGTATCATAGGCCTTTTTTGTACAACTATTTAAGAACAAGAGTACACTGCAATCTCTTTTTATGTTGTTGTTGTCTTTTTGATTATTTTTAAGAAAACTCTGGCTTTTAAGATATTTCTGCACTGTCTTAAGAAGACTAGGACAGACTAGGATGAGGGAAAATGGGATTTTAATGGTTAAACCAGGCTTGTAAAGAGCTTACTAAGGTCTTACGTCACACACACTGCATTTCATGTCTGAATGAGGTGAGTTCTTCGTCTTGAAACCACATATATCCTCACTCATCTACAGGAATTACATTATCTCTGTCTATACGGTAGACTTCATCTCCACTTAAATGATTCAAGCGCTGTACTCTAATCAAGGATCATTTAGAATAGACACATAACTCATGTAAATTATTTTACAGTAACTAGATTAAACACTAAAGGACGCTGTGTTTTCTCACATGGTATCGGTTTGATTTTGTGTTTTTTGTAAGTTTTTGGCAAAAAAGTCTGTGTATAATTTGTTGTGCCTTATAAGATGTTTTTGTGTGTCAGTTTTTATTTTGAGAATGTATGTAGATAAACAAAAAATGTAAACATTTGAGTTGTCTATTTTCTAAATGTAAAAAAAAAATCATTTCATTTGCTTTCAATACTGGTGCCTCTGAAGAAATCAAAAGATGTTTTTTTTTATTTTGGTGAGGAAACATTCATTTGTATTTTGGTGTAAGTCATGACAGTTGGAAAGAACAGCAAAATAAAAGTCGAGCATCAGGGGGAATTTAATAAAGCTGTAGTTTCATTCTGACTGACCATTAGTTGCAAAGCCATAAGCAGGAATAGTGCTGAGTTTTCTTCACAGAATGCAGCTCCAAATTTAAATACACCTGTTTTTTTTTTAAATAAATAAATAAAAATTGTGTACATTTTAAACCTCTTAGTGACAAACATTTGTAACTTTTAAAGCCATACAATTTGGAAAATAAGTATAGCTATGTCATAATGGAACAAGACTCTGATCTTGCTTTCAATTCATTTGTAAAAAATGTTGTACACCAAATTTAAAAACAAAAATATACATTTTAGTCCTGGTTCATTTTGCGTTCACATTTGCGTTTTTAACGCCGAGCCTAAAGATACAGAACAAGACATAAGGATGAGGTCGCAACCTGATTGGCCATCCTTTATGTCGTATATTTTGCGAGCTTGCAGAACATCCAAAACAACGCCTGCGTGACTCAAGACCCTTCTCGCGTGACTGGGTTAAATGCGCTCGTTGTTTGTGTACATATGGGGGAATTTTATTTTTTTTTACCAGTTTATAACTCATTAAGAGCTTATAAAATGCGTGGAATCACAACGGCGCCAGGAATTCCTCCGTTGCACACACAAAGATGTGCTGTAAATAGACTGGACCGAACTGTCTACATGGCTCTATGAGGAGAAAAACCAGGTACGCTGGAGCATTTTGTGCTTTTTAGGGTCACGTCTTAAGACTGCACGTCCTGTATAATCAGTCATATAATTAGTCGAACCGCACTGGAAATCGTTTGCGGTTGTTTGGTGCGCAACAAAGTCTGGATGGCAGCGTTCACACTTATTCAAATGAACCGCACAAGGATTCAATTAAACCAAACCTGATAAATATAAACACGCCCTGACACTCCATAAAGCGCCAAATTTAACTATTTTAACTTGACTGAAGTTCCTTAAAATGCTGGACAAGTGTTTGAACTTCACTCTGTACCAAACTGGTTTAAGACAGACAAAACTACGAAACGGGTTAAAGAGAGAAAAAGAAAAAAAGTTTCCGGGGGCGGGTCAGCACATGCAAAGCATGCAATGACTGTGGCAACTTTAACATTTGAAAGGATACTATGGCAAAGTTATTGATTTCTTTATTCAAACCGATTTTTTTTTCATGAATATATGGTTGACCTGAAGAATGAAAGCTATATCATACACTTGGAAAATTATGAGCTATATCACCGCTTAGCGACACTCGGGGTGTGACAAACTTGGCTCACGAGATGAGACAAAATACAGATAACTTGGTTCACTAGAACGAGACAATGTTTTAATACTATTTTTAAGAAATTTCAATGACAAAATATTTGTCTTTTAATTACAACAAGTAAAACAATGCAGATGTATTTAGAAATATTTAAACTCATCTAGAGCTGTAACTAATAATTATTTTGGTAATCAAGTAATCTACTGATTATTTTGACAACGGAGTTATCTGATATTTTTTAGTAACAAATTGAAAACCAGGCTTTAGTACGACTCTCTCTCTATATATATATACAGCTTCATCTCAATAAATTAGAATGTCGTGGAAAAGTTCATTTAAGTAATTCAACTCAAATTGTGAAACTCGTGTATTAAATAAATTCAATGCACACAGACTGAAGTAGTTTAAGTCTTTGGTTCTTCTAATTGTGATGATTTTGGCTCACATTTAACAAAAACCCACCAATTAACATTCTAATTTGAGATGCACCTGTATATAAATAAAAACTAACGATGAGGCAATAATAATTGGCTCAAATAAAATATCAAAACCAAGAAATTACATGATTGTATTGAACACTGTTAAAATACATAAGTTATGTTCATTATGTATAGGCATATTACATTAAGTACACTATGTATTAAAACAAATACATGCAGAGGGCACCAACAGCCTGGTGACATTTCACTTTACAGCGTGATTAAACAATGTTTAAACCCATTTAATTGTAATATTTGGCCACATGCAGAAACTTATTTTGAAATTGTGATGTACAATACATGGCATATTTAGAAATAGGTTTATGTATACTCCTGTGTTGGCAAAGGTTTATAAATGATTTGTTACAAATCTAGTGAGAATGCGCAGTTTTTCCAGATAAACGTTAAGCAATTCAAATTCACGGCAGAGGAAGAGTTTAGCCCCTTTCACACATACAGTCTTTACTGGTAAATTACAGGCAAGTTACCATTAATAGATCATGTGTTAACAGGACCTTTTCAAAAATCCTGGTAAATTTGTTCTGACAATCATATCGTTTTATGGAGATGACATGATTACTCGGAGCGGTTTACAAAGCTCCGCTGCTTTTTAATTAGTTATTCTATGTAAATATGCACTAGATGGACATCTTTGAACATTGCGCCTTGCAGCTTTGTCGTCACACTTCTCCATTCATCAGGGCTGCAACTCCACAACTGGATACTATTATGCGCGTCTCGTGTTTATAAGAGCAAAACATTCTGAGTCGCTAGTAATGTTAGTTTGGTTGAGAGTGAAAGCTGTGCTCCTCTAATACAATTGGTAGGTGAACTCATGGACTCGAAAGTGATTCAACAAGATTTATTTTATTTAAATGTAGAACTATCTTTTTCTGCAGCCAAACTCTGCACGCTGGAGATCCGGCACGGTGCCAGATAACTTTAAGCCCTGCATTTCTGAATTCAATTCAGAACTTGCATGAATTGCTACAACTTCCATAGTAAAAAAAAAAAAAAAAAAAAAAATACGCAACAAGTAATATTTCCAAAAGATCTTTTATTTGGCGCCTTATTTCTTAGATTTGAAGTACTCCTCAATGATGTCCTTTGCCTGGGACTCTTTGCCATAGTCCTGCAGATGGAGACATGAAAACATTAGATGCATGTTACATCTTTAACATTTATTCAGTTTTAAAACTGACATGACTCAACTTATTATAATTACCACAGGAAACAAAATATCATTCCACTATTCAGTAAATTTAGCTTGTTGCCCTTCTAGGGACCTCAAGAATCAAAACAGGACCAAGAGGCTCGTGTCCAGGCGCTCAATCTAGCCAAGACTTCAAAACCAGACACAGGGCACGGAGAGCCAGCATCTGGACTCGACTTGGCTCAAATCTGAAGCCCTAATATTCTTTTAATAAACACTAAACGAGTTCGCCTTGCAGATAATTAAGCGAGAAGAATAGTATGCGTATTTGGCGTGCTGTCCCTGCCATCCAGGGAGAGGGCTCAGAGCTCCCCAACCCCCCCAGGAATGGGTCAACGGTGAGGAGTCGGGGTGGTGGAGGGATGCTGAAAGACTAGAGAGAGAATGAAGGTAAGGCTGCTATGATTATTTATAGTGGTTCTCTCTCGTGGTGGTTGGATAGATGTGATTACTGATAGTGAATTGGCCGCATTGATTATCTGCGCGTGCTCCTCCCGAAATTTGTTAATAAAACATCACTAGTTGTAAAATCTTAACGCAAAATTAACTCTTGAGTGTGAACAGGACTACAGTCAGACACCCACCTTAATGACTACACAGCTGCAGCCCACCACCTTGCGGGGTTTGCCCTCTCTGTCGATCTTGCACAAACCAACCCACTCACCAAGCTTCTTATTGTCATCAACCTACAAGAGAGCACAGAGACAGTTATAATTTTATGACTCTACACTTTTAAGCAGCGATTTGGGTGTTTTAGTTCAAATCAGGCTTATAAGTCCCAAATAAGTTCTTGGCAATATTCAAGAGAACACTGCATTTTAGACTTTCATAGAATTTAATGGCTAATAAAAAGGAAGTACTTCCAACATTTTCTGAAGTAAACATGAGTGTTGCCAGCCACAAGAGTACCCTTTAGCTAATTGCAGTAGTTGTTAAGCATGGTCAGAATCAAGAGCCCACCACCAGGTCTCTAGATACGGCCTGGTTACCACCATCGATGCCATTTTATCATCAACCAGGACAGGGGTTTTTAAATCCTGCTACTGGAGACCCAGAGCACTGCATATTTCATATGTCCCTCTTTTCTAAAACACCCAATTCAGTTTGCAAAAGCCTCTCCTAATGAGATTATCAGAATCAGGTGCATTAAAGGTGCACAATAAGTCATGATCACCTAATGTATTTTTTGTTCTGTGATGGAAATTATACCATACAATTTAGACTGTTTTCAGTTGAGTTCGCGAGTCCAAATTGTAAGAAAAACAATTGAGAGAAAGTCAGAACTTGGGCAGTTTTTCTCTATTTCATGGCTGAAATAAAGCTTTCATAAATCCTGATAAATGTTGTATTAAAATGTTATTCTTATAGCCTCTCGTCACCTTGATGAGGTTGATCTGATGCTCAGCACAGAGAGCCTCCACCAGCTTGACGTACATGGGCTCGTCACAGTTTGCTGCCAGGACGCAAAGATGAGCCTGACGCCTGTTAAACAAAGAATGACCATGATGAGCCTTTAATCTCCTCCAACAGGTATGACCAATCGCTTCAACAGTATCTCAGACAGAAATTGGGTAACGAATGGCAGTTATCCTCAGAGACTTCAGTAGAGGGAGCCAAATTATCATCATAGACACACAGCAACATCTTCCAGTATATTAAAGTAGTCACTTCTTACTTGTCGAGGGCCTTGGCGGCCTCACGGATGCCACGGGCCAGACCGTCATGGATGAGTGCGGTCTTCAGCACTTCAGGCAGAGCGGTGTTGACATCCATCACACCTCCGGCAGAAATGCTATTAATTGTACAAAAGGATGTTATTGGGGTGTAAAGAGTCAGGTGTGCGCACATGCATTTAACAACCTGCGGCTTTTCAGACTGGATGTCTCACTCATGATTAGAGTGAAGGGGTATCCGACTAAAGATTTAAAGTTCATCATAGCCGAGGTCACCAGAAGAAATCACCACCATCAAATACAAAACTTAAATGCTTTAACAAGTCATACACTTTCAAGGACAGACATTAAGTTAATTTAGAGATTATAGAACTATTCAAACCCTGTATGGCTTCGTTTTGTGGCACACGAGTATAAATGTGTAGATAGACGTTCATAAATATAGAATAATGTCCAATATATTCTCTTTCCGGTAACTTCCATTGAAAGTGAATAGGAATCTATCAAGGTATTCCGTGAACAACTTAAAGAATTCCGCACAAAACTTTCATATGGCTTCAAAATACGTTTAATAATTAAATAATCAAGTGGGCTACTATTAAGAGTTTTGCCCCACTTTGATTGACAGCTTTTGGTCACCGTTTCATTTCATTGTATTGAAAACAGAGCTCAGACATGCCGTTCTTATTAATCTATGGGGAGAAAAGAAGTCATATGGTTCCTAACCTTTAGTGTGAGTAAAACGAATTTTAACAGCTAAATTAAGCCATTCAGAACACATTCCCTATTGAATCTAGATTGTGCAGCAACTGCATACTGAAGTGTGGATGCACCATCAGTAACTCGCATAGTGAGAACACAATCACTCACCCTTCCTCGGCCATTGTAGATTATCGATGGATGAGAGGATAAATTTCTGAAATAAAGGCATAATATAATCGATATATTAATATCCATTTCTTAGGATACATCTTTGAGTACTTTCAAATTAGGATGCTGGACATTTAAGACCGATTCTGTCAGAGATTACAGAAACTCGCCCTACCTTCCCTCTGACTGCGAGTAAAGAGGACGTCATAGCGTCGACAACATTGTTTTAAGCGCAAAAGGACCCGATGGTGTCCATTTCACTGCCTGCATGGACAGCCACGCGGAACTCTTTTTTTTTTAATGACCTTCGGTTACTTATTGTGCGTTATTGTTATTAATTTTTATTATTATTTAGAAAATATATTGCTCAACAACAACATTTTAAGATATTTCTGCCTAATCCACGACGATGGCGCAAACATCTCAATCCACCACTAGGTGGTGCTGTCCACTCCGTACATTATTTTGTGCCTCAGTCAGTCAGTAGTACTAGATAGCCTTTGCCGCCAAAACGTATGTGGACATTCAGACTTAAAAAATGAATTTTAAAATATTGAATAACAAAATTTGAAATGATCTGAGAACAAATTATATTACAGCTTTTCTTAAAATTTGTATTTTATGAACCATATTTATTTTTTAAACAGCTAATGTTAGTGTCAGTGAGATAATCATAAATTTTGGTACGCACTGCAATCAATGCGTTAATGTGCAATTTCGGTATAAACCCACCGCCCCCATGCAAGTTTAGGCATGCCACACTGATGTCTTGATGTGTGTGTGTGTGTGTGAGAGAGAGAGAGAGAGAGAGAGAGAGTCTGTGCTTGTTGTGGTAGGTGGGGCTGTTAGGTGTAGTCAAAACTTGCTTTCCTGGTCCTTGAGTTGGCTGAGATTACTTTTGTTTTAAAGGTTCAATCAGCTTACTGAAATACCAGTCTGCTCCTCCAGCCACTTTTATTCCCAACAAACCTTTTAGCACTTTCAGAAGATGTCCATCACGGTGTATTACAGCAGTGTGAGTGGCTCTAGAGAGGTGTGTATCTGTATTTCTGACTGCTCAGGATGTGTCTAGCCGTTGATAGGCCTACTTGCCTTTTGAAACTATATGATATAAACTGATATTTTTAAGAGTACCTATTATTCGTTTACATGCTATACAGTCGTCTTATGTCAAATTAGACTAGTGAAGTTAACTCCACAGAGGTTTGTGTTTGTGTCTGCAGAAGGATTTAAAAAATCCTACTGTAGCTGGTGAAAAACATTGGTTTTACAAGAAATCTGAAGTAAATAACTAGTTGTTCTTGTCGCATGTCTTAAAAAAGGAAGAGAAACCAGAGTTCATTGTGAGTTGTCAAAGGTTTATTATTTTTCCATCTCTGTTTCTTCAGGTGAAGCAACATCAGTCTGAGATGCTGCAGTTTCTGGATGCCAAGAAGATCAAGTACTTTGCTGTGGACATCGCAGGAAGCGGTGACTTGAAGGAGGAGATGAGGAAGAAAGTGGGAAACCCCTCAGCGATGCCCCCTCAGGTCTTTAATGGAGACAAATACTGTGGGGTAAGTCTCATCTAGTAGCCTTGTTTTTGATACTGGTCTGTAGATCAAGAGAGAAACATTGCTTCTGTTTTACCTGCATCAAATCAACCTCAAGTCAGAAATGGTCAGTTGATTTAATCTTCTAAAAACCGATAGGCTGCATGCTGGCATTCAAATGAATGTTTTTTTTTATTTAATTTGAAATATTTTGCATTACACACTAAACCATGTTAAATCTATCAAATAATGTGAGTTAAGTTCAGTATCCACGTGTTTTTCTGTTAATTATGAGTTATTAAGCCATGTTTTTTTGCAGTTATTAGGAAAAGCACATAACGTTCAGGCTATGATGTGTCATAAAGCTTAAACAGAACATGGAAATCTTCGAAATGAACTAAATGTGTCTGTTTGGGTTTTGCAACAAGCATGTTGAAACGCTGAGTCAGTTACTGAGAGATACAAAACGTAAGTGTTTGTAGTGTATGTTAATGCTATTAATTTTGCTGTGCAAACAACACTTGAAACATAAGAGTTTGTATATAGGCACAGGAGACCTGTCAGGCTCGTTCAGTTTCTTACACACCCGTTCAAACACTCCTATCAGCTATAGATGTTTCCACTGCTTGGAATGCACCATGTAGATCAAGAGAGAAATATTGCTTCTGTTTTACCTGCATCAAATCAACCTCAAGTCAGAAATGGTCAGTTGATTTAATCTTCTAAAAACCGATAGGCTGCATGCTGGCATTCAAATTAATGTTTTTTTTTATTTAATTTGAAATATTTTGCATTACACACTAAACCATGTTAAATCTATCAAATAATGTGAGTTAAGTTCAGTATCCACGTGTTTTTCTGTTAATTATGAGTATTAAGCCATGTTTTTTTGCAGTTATTAGGAAAAGCACATAACGTTCAGGCTATGATGTGTCATGAAGCTTAAACAGAACATGGAAATCTTCGAAATGAACTAAATGTGTCTGTTTGGGTTTTGCAACAAGCATGTTGAAACGCTGAGTCAGTTACTGAGAGATACAAAACGTAAGTGTTTGTAGTGTATGTTAATGCTATTAATTTTGCTGTGCAAACAACACTTGAAACATAAGAGTTTGTATATAGGCACAGGAGACCTGTCAGGCTCGTTCAGTTTCTTACACACCCGTTCAAACACTCCTATCAGCTATAGATGTTTCCACTGCTTGGAATGCACCAGTGCTTTCTTGTGATAGTCTGCCACTCTGGGGAACATCTTGAGATTGCCTTGTGATGCTCAGAACAGTACGCGCTGTTTACAAATCTGCAAGAATTCCACACATGCAGTTTACCAGTAATGCCCGACTAAATGCTTTTAAGGATATTCAAATCTTATTTTTCCTTTCTCATATTTCTTATTTGTAAAGACTACATAAAGCTGGTTATCATCTGTGTTTGTGTTTATAGGACTATCAGAAGTTTTCTGATGCAATGGAGGATGGGAAACCAGAGACATTTTTCAAACTCTGAACTACTATTGGCACACTATACTAAATCCTTGTATTTTTTAAAATGATATATGTTAAGAAGATACATACAGTATTTTACATCATTAAATGAAAAAAAAAAAAAAAAAGGATTACTAGGGTGCAGTAATGTCTCGAGTACCTACAATTTATTAACTGTTGGTGCATTTAATCCCCCGATGCGTTTTTAAGCAGTGATTCTTCTTAAAAGTTCTAAACTTTAATAAAGAAATTTTGGGGTGAAAAAAAATGTCATGGTATCAAATGCAAACATTAAACTGGCAGAGATTCAGATGAACAATTTTGCTAGTCTGATAGATTTATTTAACATTATTACATTATTCATGAGTTTTTCTCTTAATTATTTCAGTAGTAAGACATAGACACTGATTGAACATGGAGTCAAATACTTGGACTTTTTTTATTTTGGAGGACATGTTTTACCTGAACTTTAGCTTCTTAATTAGCTTTGAAATTAACTAATATATTATTGTTTATGCTTATTTATTTATTTATACAAAAGTCGTTTGAAATCAAATAATAATTGGCAGACCCTCAAGGGGTCATGAACCCTTTATTAAAGACTTTTGTCCTGTATGTCAAATTGTTTGTTATTTGAACACTGTATCTATCCATTTTATTAGTATTCAACTCGTGTAGCAAACATCTGTATCTTTTTATAGAGGAACAACATTTTCCCACGCTCTCTACATCAGCCTCTTATGCTAGCTAATGCAAAACTGCCACATGCAAAGGCATGCTGGGATATCTGGAGTGTTTCACTGAACTTCTTCAAAAGTTACAGTATGTTGTATGCACACACTATACTATATTTGGACAATTAATCCAGCACAGCACACTTAAGAAAAAAAATATATATATTTAAATTAATTTTAATTGTAGGATGCCTGTTGGTTTTTCTATTGTTTAAATGCAATATTTGCCTAAATTGAGACTCTTGAGAAACACAAGAAACAATCATTAAAGCAGTTTTTGAATATACTTTATTAAAAATTAGATTTTTAAATTATTCATTTAGATTATGAAAGTAAACAACAGTAACTTCATACATATCATTCAGTACAGAGAGGAATGATTCCATTTGACAGAATGTGTGTATATGTGTGTGTTTGTGTGAAAACATAATTGTGTCCTGAGCATGGTGTGTGTATGTGTGCGTAAACATACATGCTTATTCACGTGGAATCATTTAATGAATGGGTGGGAGGAGTGAAGCAAGAAGCGCTTATCACAATGAATAGTAAATGCAAATGCAGAGAATGTAGGTTTGGGAGTGTTTTTTTGTTTGGGAGGTTTGATTGTGGCAGTAGATTGTCGAAAAAAACCTAGAGTAGACTGTGTGTAAACATTAAATATGTTCCACAAAACCAGCTTTGTGAGTAAACCAACTATTCTCCCCAGCTTTGTATGATATAAGTCACTATATAAGCTACATAAATGGGTGAGCTGAAAGTTGAGGCATCACAGTGTGCTACATGCTATATGCTAACATACCCCTGAGAAGAAAAACACACTTTAACACACAATTAAAGAGGAAAAGACTGAACAAGATTTGAGTTCTTTAGCATGTTTTTCAGCAGAAGGAACAAAAGGCTTTAGGAATGAGATGTGAAATTCCAATAATAAAGCACAAGGTGTTCAAATACTGATTCAGGACCAGTTTTACACTCAGAAAAGCTTTGAAGAGCCATTATGTGTCGTGGAAACACTGAGCTCAGATCAGCGCTGTTCCACTGAGATCTTAATTCAGGTCAGGATTCTATTTCCTGTTTTGAGGCTGTTTTGGCTTTTGGTCTGAACTTCTTTTTACAAATAGATCAAAGCCTGCGGAAAGGACAACATTATACCAAATTCTTCTGCTGTTTCCCTACATTTCCTTTTGGCCATCTGTTTGAGCTCCTTAACAAAGAACAACTTACAAGAGATGTATATGCAACCTTGCATACTTATTATTCCCTTTGTGTAGATTAACAATATAAGTCTTATGCACACAAACATAAGATCACTTTCTATCCCTGTATCACGTTATAAAAGCAGAGTTGGTTTTTCATGCAACACACGTACAACAAATGAAACATAACAGCAACACATAAATAATTAATTAGGCCATAGAAAACATGAATCACCCTGTGTATGTGTGTGTTTGAATAAGGAGAAGTTTGTTAGCTGGAGGGCAGCGTGTGTTTGGCAAAAGCATTGCTGGCAGTGAGGGCTTCAGACCAGGGGACGAAAGTTACATCACAGGAAAAAGAGGCAAAACCACAGTGTTTCAGTCTAGGCAAATGTCAATGACACGCTCTAGGATTCAGAGTCCTGCAGAGAACAGAATTTAATTCAGTTAGATGTTAATCCTATTCTGTAATCCATAACAATATCACATTAAACCAGTGTAGAGCCAGTAACACAATATGACAAAAAGGTATCTTAATAATCAATATTTTCATCTTGCTGTTCAGTACAACTATTTAAACATCCACTATGAAAACTGCATAATGTGTTTCATAGAATATATTCTGAATTCACTTTATTTTTCTTATTCCATTGGCAAATTGTGTTTTTAAGCATAAATCTAACAAAATGAATGGTTAATGCATAAAACAAGAACAGAAATAGCCAAAAGGGGAGGGAAGAATAAAATATATTCAAGATATATTCTCCGAAAACATGTTTTATTACCCTTTTATTATTTATTTTAAAAAACGTTTTCCTTTTTTTAATTAAAAGACAAGCCGGAGTGTGTTTGTACCTTTACTGGGGCAAACGGAGGAATGAGAACACTGTGTTCGTCTCTTTAGACTGGAAGAAATCTTCATAATCCTGCAAAATGATAGAATTATAAATGACTGAGGAGAGTTTTTAGCAACTGTAACTGTTTGTCTTTAATATTGGATATAATACTGACATTCTATCTGCCATAAATATCAAACCAAACTAAATAAGAGAACCTGCTTATTCAGATTATATAAATTATGCTATTTAACATCCATTAACATAATCTAAAATCAAATTACTTCAAATCAAATTGTCTTGCTCTGCATTCGTGTCAAACAGTTAATCGCTGTGACGTGAAGGAAGCGGATCTGCTGTTCTGATTGGCTGAGAGAGTTGTTGGAGGCGGTGTCTAAGAGTAATTAGGATTATTCTGAGATTACATCAATTGGGCACTCAGCAAAATCCAGATGCTTCCATGAGTCAGTCACGAAATATACAAACCTTACCATAACTCAAGTTTAAAGCCATGAATCATTTCTAAATTAAGATTCAAACTCATAAATGTCTTTCTGATTCTTTAGCCATTTATGGCAAGAGTGTCACAGTGGTGATAAATAGAGAGTGTGAAGGTGTGAATGTAAGTATTAGGGTGTGCTTTGCCTGCAAAATCTCTTTTTTGAAACTTTAAGATTTGTTTTTGGAAGAACAGAGGCATGAAAATGCCTTTCCCTTTTCACAACCTTATAAAGGGCATCTCATGCTTTAATGTGACTGGCTAGAGAAAACACAATAAATACCACACTAGAATGTAATTGGCTGAAAAAGAGAACGGTGCCACACAGCTTAACACCATGGATATTTGTATACGTGTATTGATTTTTAATAAACATCCTCTCAAACCAACCCAATGTGGACTCATTGGCCAGACAGAGAGCTTTTAGCTTATCATTGATTTAAGTGTCTGAGAGAAACAGAGTATTACTTCAGCAGAATCCCTTACAGAACGAATTAATACGCATGAATTGAGGTCTGTGGTATATTGATGAAGATATAACCAATGTGCGAGTATCTAACAATAAATTTGCTTTTGAATGAAGATTATTGAACAGGTTAAGTCAACATGTTTTAATAGGAGAGGGTGCATCACCTGTCCAGTGTGCGACATATCAAGCATATGAATTAGTTTCTAATGAAAAGAATTGATGACTCACGCCGCAGTAGTCGTCTCCATTGAAGATCTGAGGGGGGAGAGGATTGCCCTTTTCAGGTCGTTTCTCCTCAGGAATGTTCCGGTACATCCAGAGCCTCTGATCCTCCAGCATGGTGATGTCAACCTCCTCGAAGCTGATCCGGTTGGCCTCCAGAAAGCCCACGATGGCCTGCTGACGTTTCTTCACCTGAGGAATCACACAATGAAGTTCTTTGGTCAATAATCTGTGATTAGATATTAAATGATCTGTGTTATCAAAGTTATTAAAGGCTACTCTCAAACTTATGTATTAACATTTATGAGTGTATGAGTAATTATTCATTCACAACTGAAACGTGGTTGTGGTGTAATCGTAATGAAAAACTGCTGTTTGTGTCCCAGAAATCTTATTACTGAACTGTCACATTATTTGTCACATCCATCTCTGTTGTGTCATGCAAAATACATGTTAATAATTTAAAATGAAATAGTTTGCATTTGTTTTTGCTTTTTTGTTTTCCAATTTATTGCTTTTAATGTTATATTTAATGTTAAACTATATATTTAAAGTGTTTAATTGATATTTATAAAATATAAATACTAATGTATGTAGTTGATTCTAAAATGCTTTATGAACTTTAACAGAATTGTAAAATAGTAAATATAGTATTGATTGGAATTAATATGTGGTGCAATGATATTAACTAATTAAAAGTGTTGTTAACAAATTTTGGACTCATCAACCTTGTAATTGTCAGCCTTGAAACATTTTGAATTTAACAGTGCTGGCAAAAAAAGTAAAAGTATAAAGTATTAATATACTGTTATACATTTCTGTGTGCATTAGTGTCTATGTCCTTTCTGAAAACACACAGATGGAAAGCACTCAGTGAAATTCCCATTAGTCAGATGTAGGAGGAGAGTATTGATCAGCAAAAAGGGATTTATTTGAAACCAAATGTAAAACACACAGCTGAGACACACCTAAAAAAAATCCCTAAAACTTTATAGAATATGATTATGCATTTCAAGCACATCAAATTTAACACAGAAAACAATGAAAGACTTTGTGTGTATATTTCATTGCGCTTTTGAGTGTCTATTTTTATGGTGAAAAGGTTATTTAACATCTGTTCTGTGTCTGGCGTCCTGTGTTTCTGAATCCTTCCCCATATTAACATTGAATAAACTTTTTGTCCTTATCTTACACACTTGTCTGTCACCCTCTGCACTCAGCTCTCCATTGTACTGTTTAAAAACTCAATAGTTCCATTCCAGTGCAACAATGCCAAGTACATTTTCCAAAGAATAAACATGTCTTTCTTTAAATTCCTAGCACTTGTAGTTAATGAATGCATTAAGAAGTGGCACACAGAGATGAAAAGATTTCCAAAATGATAA